AAATCTAAGAGGCACACACATTCTGTCGACACGGGTCGGGAGTCTGCAGGAATTTGCGGGAGAATTCTGTAGAAGGAACCAACAAAGATGTCAGCACCGTTCGAAACGGATGCTGATAGTTGCATCGAGGACATTAGCTCGTTCCAGAGGTGATGGCTATAGCAAACAATTCGTCAGCTGTGTCAAGTACGTTTTGGAGGATCAAGTACCTTCTTCCACTAGAAGAAAGAGCTTTTACCGATACGGATAGGCAGTATCCTTGGAGGTCTCAATAGACTCGATCGGCTATTACGAAGCTGGCGCAGCCGTTTTAAAAAACACAAGTAAACATTTCTTTTGTCCGTCCTAAAATACACCGAAAAACGAATACGATTTGCTGAGTCACGATCAAATTGATCAAACGTCAAGTATTCCGTAAATATTAGTATTCATTGTAATATTTCTGTTATATGGGAATTGTTCTCTGTCAATTAGGACTCCGATTACTGTCTGTGTTACGTTTTTCAAAACACGCCGATACTATGCAGCCGTGTTGATATTTAGCTCCGAGATATCTCTCTATGTAATCCAGCCTTAAAGCACGTTAAATTAGAATGTAATTAAAAGAACAGACACCTTCCAGCTGATTGGCGTGCGTCACGTGTTCGCATGTTTTTTCCCGTCCATTTGTTTTCCCATCGAGTGCGTTTCGCCTCGAAGCTTTCGGCGCTCATGTTCAACGACATCAAGAAGAAGAAAGTTTCCTAATGCCACTCAAGCATTGCACAGTAAGTGCTATGACGATATTTTGGCGGGGGCACGGCTGGTGTGGAAAGGGAGGGGACATATAGCAGAAGCAGAAAAGCGAGACAAGGAGAAGAGAATGAATGCGCTGCTACTTTAATATACTGCAGCATAGCAACACTTCCAACAGTTGATCAGAGCATAGCCTGTTGCACCTTCTATGGACGCTGCAGGACACAACCTAATGCAGCTAAAATTACCCTTACAAACAGTTGATGTATGTGAGAACCGTCAGCTATAGCAGCCATTATAGGGTTGGTTCCGGATACGTCCAGCTTCACCCCTATAGTGTACACACTAGGCGGGAATCGTCGGCGCTCCGAGACGCATTGTTACTGCCGTAGCCTGTGCCAAATCTGATTTTAATTGTGCCGCCTCAAGATGCAAGCTATTGTCGCGTCGGTAAGTTGATTGGAGTCTTACTCTGCATGGGACATTTCATTGTGACAAAGAATAGATAAAATGTCGCTACCTGAATGGAGGATATTTTGCTTAGATAAACGCTTGCGTCCATTTTTGCGCAACGGGGTTCTGCTTGTTTCCGAAAGTGTCGAAGTCGGGTTTTATTTCCCGTATGTTCGCTATGTGTATTAGAATATAGCACGCATCGGTCGATTCTACGGATCTTATTTAGATGTGAAGGCTTCAATTTGCCTGTCAGCTAATTTGGGACACGCGTAATGTTTTTGCTGAGATAGGTAACCCTACCTTAGTTATGTGTGCAGGCGGCAGCTGTCAGAAGCAATATTTAACAGCAATAAAAGTTGACCTAAAACTTTTAACGAATACCTTGTTGTAGGTATCTTCGTCTGTTTCCAGAGAGAACGTTAAGGTGCGCTCCGGCGTTGTCCCCTAAACTCCTCAACGGAAGCAAAGTGGACGTCTTTGCCCCAAAATACAAAATTCTATTACAAGTAATGGAAATATGTGATACAGTCTGGAAGCCGGAGTTTCCTGTATAACAATAGTAATACGACGAGGTCGATTAGAGGCAAGGCATTTTTTGCTAAAATTTCAGACATTTAAAAGGCCGTAGAGGTTTGTGCGACATGATAAGTACGTTGCCAGAAGCTAATTATACAAGTATTTAATTGTGTGTCCGGGAAACATTAACACACATTTTTGCGAGCTCAAGAAATTATGTCAGGAGACCAATACGTTGGCCGTCCATGGCAGAGTTTTCTGGGCTGCTACATATATATATCTATACACACACGCCTATATAAGAACATTTTAAATAACGGCTATCTGAATTTGATCTTCACTCGGAGGTTGAATCTTGAATAGACGCTGACACGACCTCGAATCTTGAACGAGTCAGTTTTTTTTTACCATCCAGAACCCGCCCTCTGGCGCCATTATTCGGGTTCTGTAAAAAGTGTTGTGTACATAAAACAGGATGGGGTATGTGGAAATAGACCGTCCATGAAATGTGTTAAAGTAGCCTTCAAGAGCTCGCTTATATTAACATTAGCACACATCTAAAGGGCTCCTCGTTTATGTAGCCTAGCCCTAGCTCTAAATTTGATTTATTATACGGTAGGAGAACTAGACGGATCACTGGGCACCCTTTTTCAAAACAATGTGCTTTTACGAGCGAATCATCACAGCTTCTCCCATAGCTACAATGTCCATCTTATGGAGTGTCGATATGTAAACATTTATGATCGATGTACCACATTGCGCATCCCATATAATTGGAGTTACGAGAAAATTATACATTTACTTTTACGTTTCGATGATGAAATGTAACATTTCATAATGAAACTAAATTTACAGATTTGTCGACGAAGGTGCTAGGGCCGGCTCCTTTGATATTTGTTATTGTTGTTCTACATCTAGCTAGCGCCTGTGGATTAATCGTGAGGCTAAAAGTCACAAGTGACATTGAAAATAGTTACCTATTAGAGGATCCGTAAGTTAAGTGAGATCTGTTTAGATACTGTTTCAATTAACCGGGACGACTTCACTGACGGGAGATCTGTAGGTCTTTAACATTCAAGAATATTTTAATCGTATAAGTGCATATACTCGAAACAAATTAGGATTAATATTAACTAACCAGTAGCGCCTACTACAATCCGAATCACGATCAGCTAAATCTCAATCGAGAAGACCTCTAACAATAGTATTAGGTGAACTGCGTCACAACGTCATCGTGTCCCTCTCTCTGGCCCTTCATCTTCCTTAACTGATCACAGCGTTACAGCTGCTCCAAACGCTCTAGGTACTCTAATTATTGACATCACATAATCGCACATTACTATCCACACCGATATATTATTGTATAGACACCCGTCCGTCCCAATCTTCAATTAAGTTGATCTGTGTCAGACCATTTCTGCTAACCTGTTACTCGACGGTTGGTATTCATCCGTTGTCTAAAGCGGTTCGAAGGTCAGCGCCTTCCGATAACGATAGCCAATACCTTTGTTCTAGTCGAATTCGCGTGTCTGAATTTTTCCAGAGCAAATTTTGAATGTTGCTGATCTGTCTCGGTTAGATAGTGTCTCAACAACTAGGATTGACGATGGCGTACGTACATCGTTCAATTCAGTCATTGTTCATTGGTGATGGGTAATTTTTGCTCTGTACACATCTAATGGACAATCGACTTTGGCGGGGACGTCGTCACTATCATTTGTTACTGGAAATTGTTGTTGTTGTTGTTGATGATCTTCTGCTACTTGTCGTTCTCTGTTCGTCTTCTTTTAATGGATCTCATCTCTGTTTAAAATTGTTGTAAATCTGTTTCAAGTCACGTTCGTTCGTACCTTTTGACCTACTACGACAGGTGCTGCCGTTGCCGATGTGCACGCGTTCTGTTTACGATATTGTAAATATGTACAAATAATCGTCTTACGACACTAGCGCTCTAATGATCAGCGGGAGCCGTCAGTTGACAACAGACGAGCAAAGACATGCGGCGCGTACTTTCTTACAATTAAATGACGATCACTGTAATTTTACAAACGGATTATTGTGGTACCGTCAGTGCTGAGGGATCGTCAAGATCAGCGGACGATTATCACAGATGCTACTTGAATTGGGGTAGAGCAAGTTACGATAATTAGCGGCATTATGTTGATCGTACGATTTTTCCACTGACTGAGCTACATAGAGATTTATGGGAAGAGGAATATTTACTGCCAATACAGGCCTCGTCCGGACTAGAGTAATGAGACTGGTCGATATGCGTCTATCATTTAATGTATACACTTGTATGAGCGCAACTAACTATACGCCGCAGTATAGTCGCCGGCGTCCCTATAGTCGACGTCCACCGGTAGCCGGTACCTGTAACTTTGTCTGGATTTACGTAAATGCCGTTTTATTGCTGATTCTCGGGGGTGGTCATTGTTCATACTGGATGTGAAACGACGTTTGTGGGGAGAGCTCAGAATCCCGAAGAGGAGACAAACGTCGGGGCGTTATTTTCATTTGGCCTGCCGCCGCCGCCGCCGCCACCGCCGCCGCGGCTGCCTGTCATAGTTGCATCTGTTGTTACTGCCGCTGCAAAGATCTCGTGTAGTTCTGCTGTGTATTAAATATGAACGTCTGTTTGGTTGTGTGTCAAAATCCTCCTCATTCGTCGTGGCGTCTTTAATCGGCTCGCAGTTCGCTTGTGTATCTTTTCGCCTCTGTGTGAAGCACGGCGTCGCCCTGTCCGTGTGTTGTAGTTGCCGTTGCTGCGTATGGTGGTAGATCCGGCGAGCACCGGACAAGTGCAAACAACGCGAAACCGACTACGGCCGCAGTACGTGGGCCGCCCCAGGGTTGACGGTTGTAGAGCGAAGAGGCCGCTATAATAATCATTTTTATCGCCATGAGAACGACCCGCGCGCGCCGTGCTTACTATGATACAGCCAATGTACAAATCAAACGTATGGCATGTGCACAATACAGCACATCGTAGTACTACTATGTGTGAGCCCATACGAACATTTCTATAATATTAATCATGATACTAAGACAGGGGAAGCATAGTCTTTCTTCACATCCTGTCTCTTACCAAATATCCCCTTTCTGTTTTCTCACCCCTCTGCTTCCGTGCCATCCTATCCTGCTCCACGTACAGGGGGCAGTAATCATGCACGGCACATAAGGCGTTCGCTTACTCACTCGCAGCTTCGTTGCTCTGCGAGTAGAACACAAACCCATACAAACGGACCTTTTAGGATTCACGCTTGCCACTACAAACACATATACGGACACACTGCAAATGCGTATACAGACAGCCACTTAGATAACGACACGAGCGGTGATACACACGCTCGCTGCTTGCGGGCGAAATCCGTCGGCCGCTTCGGAAACGTGAACAAGGCGGATCGGATCGGTGGTAACAGAAGTTCGCCAAAAATATTAACGGCAGTCAGCAACGCGACAGAACTTGGATAGATACCAAACTGAAGACTGACAAAGGCCCGTCGATCGATCCCCAAAGGCGGACATAACGTAACAACAATAGCGTAGACAATGGTTGTGTACCAACTCGTGTCTAGCGACGATAAAGAATTAGAAAAAAAAGAAGAGCACAAAACGGTATAGACAGACAGAGAAACAGAAATGGCGAGGATACGGAACGAACGAAAACGGATGGACTGAAACCAATCAAAGCTTGTTAAACCTCGACCGCAGGTAGAGAGTAGACCGTCGTGCGGAGTGATATGCGCTGCGACAGCGAAGCTTTTTCTTCTAGTGTTTGTCTCTCAGGAGGTAACGATAATAATAGTTGTAATCACCACCTGAGAATCATTAGCTTGAGCTAGAGAGAGCTTACAGGCTCGGAAAAATTATTTGGATTTCGATGAACAAGGATAGTCATTCTTCGCTTTAGTGCTTGGAAATGGTGAACGACAGTCGCTATTACGTTGGTACGGTGGCGCAACAGTTCACGTGGTCGTATGAGGTGCATTGTTAGCTCACAACTTTTAAGTTGAAGAAAACGAATAGAAAAAAGCAAAAATTAATCAAGTGCTAGGCAACTTTCGCTTCGTCCTTTGCTGTCGAGGCGCTTTTTGAGGGTCGATTTCTGCCGTGCCACGATGAGATCAGCAACGTGATTGATGTTAACTCTCGACAGAGCTTTTCCGGTTGTCCACGAATGGAAGCTATAGTGGCCTTACTCACGCACACGGAGACTGTTTGATATGCTCTAGTGACGACGAAGGGATACTCGTAGCAGTGAAAAGCTTCCTCGTAAGCAGTTGCCTCACCGTATCTTATCGTGTTGATGGTAGAAGTGAAGGAGGTGGTATCCAGTTGTGCACCGAAGTGAAGTGATGGACAACCCGTCGCTTGCCGATTTACAATATATTATCAACAATGCGGATTACACACAAACTCTGGCCACTGGTTCGTTTTCATGTAATCGCTAGGCTTTACTATTAGGCGCGTGTGCTAAGTGTTCCTTATGCGATAAAACCATCACAAACATTAAAGATAAGCACATATGAAAGACATATGTATTTTTCTAGTTTGGCTACAACAGAAAGCAATTTTTGTTACACTATACGACAACATTACAGATCTCACGTCAAAGAAGCTTATTATGTTTCATGTTATTGGGTTCAGCATCGCCGTCAGGCGTTCCATCAGACTGCTGATTGACTCCCAACCATCACACACTGAGTCGATCCGAACGTGTCCGTGAGATTAGCAGGCACTGAGCTATCACGGAGACACATCGAAGAAGCTAAATTCCTGTAAACGGTGATTCTATACAAAATAACAAGATACCAAAAAACAGGCGGTTATGATTCATAATGATCACAATGGGAATAGACACATAAAGAGGCATCGCATGTATTCTCCCCATCGTGCCGTCCATTGCGGCACATCGGAGACAGAAGATGGCAGTTCCCATAGAAAAAAAAAACAAAAAAGGCATCGAAACATGATCTGAAATGGAAAAAAAAACAATAAAAAGCGAACGATGTTGTTGAGCTAGTGACCTTCGCGAATACCCAGATAAACAGTTTCAAGAAATGACTTTACTAATAATATAATATTCCATCTGTTGAGCGCCCATTGGCAATGTTTTGACCAGAACTTCAATTATTATGAAATCTATTGACATTCTGGTTGATTTTCCGCTCGAGCATATTCTACGAGTACGTGTCCTAATTTGAGGCTCGGTTTTATAGATGTCTGCATTTTCGTAGCATATCACGGGAAGCATTTGCTTGACTGACCTCTACAAATCTGAGCGTTACGAATTACAATAGATGTGATATCTTTTTGAGTAAAACAAGTACTTTGCCACGTCACCAACACCACAAAGCTTGAAATCTCATTGATCTTCCTGAAAGACTGAGGGGTCCCCGCAGATACGGACACGATTGCATATACATGCATGCACGTATAACTATAGTCGATCAGCGGGACACCAACTACCATACGCGTAACAATGGCCGTCGTCGTCGTCGTCGTCATCATTACTTTACGCTGCTGCGGTTGCTGTTGCTTTTGCTGTTCCTATTTGTAATGATCGTTGTCACCGAGAAACGGTCATTGCTTAGTTCATTGTTGACCGTTGAGGCCTTTGGGGAAGCTGCGGATGACTCGGAGTCGAGTAGCAACAGGATTAGCAGTGCTATCGAAGCGCCGACGGCTGCCAGTCTTTAGAAGCAGTGTATGAAACCAACATAACGTCGGAAAGCTTTTTGACGATTGTGTCTCGGAGTGAGCAGCATCAAGCAAACTTCACGTCGGCTATCGCCGGGCAGTGACTGAAGGTTGGACGTTTATGAATTCGTTGACCTTTACGTGACGTGTTCCGATCGTCACAACGGCTAACTAGCGTGGTTACATTAGCAGTCTGATCAAATAAATCGGCCCTTCAGATCATTCGAACGCGATATTTGATTCAACTCCACAATCCGTATCGGTACTGTAAACGAATGACGTTTTACAATTAAATAAAAATTTACGATTCATTAACGTACACATGCGTCCATCAGACGGCCATCTGTGATTGTAGTAATAGCCTGTCAGCATGTGAGCGTCACGATCTGTTGATCAAGGGTAGTCAGTTATTAAAAAATGCATTTGTTTGCGCTTTCATAATTTGGAACCGAGCTACTTTATGATGAAGTGACCACACTGGGAAAAGCAGCTAACGATAAATTCGATCAAGTCTGGAAAATAGACTGATCTGGCTTGTCTCGAACAGCATGACCATATTGCCTTGACTCACCGGGTTGCGATTACCCCGGACTGTTTTCATCCCATCATCTGTGGGGGATGTCCGCCCGTATGGTAGCAAGGTCGACGCAGAATTTTCCGCTATCGCTAGCTCCACCACCACCACCATCAGTAGTGGCTGTACGACGTGTTATTATGCCGCGTTATATACGTGGGATGTTCTTGTTGAATCGAGGTCCCAGAAACCGAACAAGACAACAATCCGCGTGGTGACTCATTTCGATTCTTTGATGTGTTCGATCAGTTAAATGAGCGTTTTTTCACGTCTAGATTAGATCATACTAGTACGTGCGAGTTAGAGAATATGTTTGCTGGAAAATAAAATAAGAAAAGGAATCTCTAGGAGAAACAAAGTGAGTCCGACGTTTTTACTACGTTTTTTTTTTTTTACTACTACACGTTTATCTTATTTCGTAAAAAGTACGTGATGTAATGCTAATCGGTATGATGTGTTCATAGTGCACTGATCAAGTCTATACATGCGAAGTAACCACTATGAAAGAGCGTTCGCTGATCATACCAAGTGGACGTGTTGTCACAGACCATCATTTTACAGAACGGTAGAATAGGTTAAATGTACTTTATACTATACAACTTCGATGGTTTGTGTACCCTGCGAAGCGACAGGGTAAATAGTAGTAACACACGCTCGTTATTATAATTTACGTTGTAAACATTACGTTGGTCCGAAGATTCGCAGCAGTCACAGTGATTTGTAAAGCGTCAGCTTGGTCGGCAGGCCATGCAAACTGCACTTTGTTTTTGTTGAATAACGCTCACTTTCGTAGCGACTATGTGTGTCGTGTTATGTATTGTCAGCGCATCGTTACTCGATTCCTTTCCCCTATAGTATAATATACATATAAAATCATAAAGCTGTACTAAACCGCTTCAGTTTAGCCGCGCTATATAAGATTCTGCCGATTCAGAAGGCTCTGTTTGAGAACAGTGCGGCACCTCTTTCAGCATCCTCTTAAGGTAATGGAAGTTTTTTTTGGCGGTCGTATTCCCTCCAAATGCCGTACCTCCTGCCACTCGTGGCCTTTTTTTGCTGACTCTTAAAAATCTCTGCCGATTGATACGACTCGTTAGCTTACGATACGCGTCGTATATTCCAGTCGCCCACTCCATGACGTGCGCCTTTAGCCTGCCGCTGTTAACTTCCTTCGTCGAATACACATCAGCAGAGCGTAACCGCTACACTGATAACACTTGCGCTTAACTCGCGTGCTATAGTACTTAGGCAGCAAACCAACCAGGCGTCTATGAAGAATTCGTATCACTTCTACGATTGGTTTTACCTCAGAACGGAGGGCTAAGATATACGCGAAGCGGGGAACGCGCAAATAACGTATTGGATCAAACAGAAGTGGGAAATCCATTCGAGAATCAGGGAGCGACTCAGACGAACAAACAGCGGAAACGAAGAGCGGCCAGAGCATCAGACCACTTACTCAAATTTGTTACATAGAGCGGCGACTGTTATGCGTGATTCACTTCATTGGAGGCCTCCACTTCATGTGGAAATCGTCTTTATCTTCTTGGGGCTTTTGCACTAGCTTCGGCCAGCGCAACAGAAGCTAGCTAGCTAGCTAGCTAGCTAGATGGGTCATTCTGATTAGAAGACACTAGAGCTAAGCTCTGCTGGCTAAGCGGGAAGTGTTACATATTGTGACAAAGGCCATTAGGCAGCCTTATTTTTATAAATCGATATTCCAGAGCTATGTTAGACGAACTGATGGGTTAGATCTATATATATATATATATATATATATATATATATATATGTTGCGTATACCGGATATACATAGAACTATACCTCATTATGTAGGGTGCGTGTTTTGCGCATATTTGTAGAACCTCAATCGTCATGAACTCATGCATCGGACCGTGAATACCAAAAACGTGATATCATACATTCACAAATCAAAAAGCATCGATTGGTTTACTCCAGTAAATTAAACTAAATAATTGCTAATGAAGAGTGGAAACAAGCTTCCACTAAAGTCTAAGAAAAAAATTTAAACTATTTTAATTCGTCAAGATCTAGGTGTCTTAGGCGTCGCATAGGTGTATTTCTATGGTATTGTCAAGGATACCTATTCATAGGGAAACTGATGGAAGAAGCTTAAATTGCGGTTTCGACAGTTGTTCCGGTATGGCAAGATATCGTTAAGCCAGTTTCAAGTTTTTCGGATACGATGATTCGACTAACGTACCTGAATTCAAAGCGGGGCGTACATACATTGCGTTTCATGTCGGTATAGAACAATACTCGGCAGCATTACTGCTAGCTCTTCTTAACGTTCAATAACAGTGGCCATATTCAGAAGACAGCCGTCAGGAACAAAATATGAATATAAACATAATGATTACTACTTAACGTCGTGTGAATTAATGGTGACACATTTATACACTAAATTGGCTGGTTTAAATGGCAATTTTTCTTTTCATAATTTTCGACTAAATGGAGCCTGTTTGCTAAGGATCCGGACGTGTTGACGTGCGTTACGGACCAGAATTCGGTAGTCATTAGAGTGTCACCATGATACATAGTACCTTATGTCTTGTGACAAACTCGTATAGAGAACAGTTGTCGCCAATTCTACCGAATCGGCCTCAGACCAGCTGTTATTATTAGAGCGCTGCAAAGAAACCTCTACTGTAACCGGTCAGTGAGAATGAGCCCGTCTCCTGCCAGAACAAATCCACCGGAATATATTCACGACAAAAGAACAGTTGCACGGTGAGTACTAGCGGCAACGTAAAAGCAGCTCAAGCGCCTGTGCAGAAATCAATAAAAGACGATACTGTGTATACATGTACATATACATGTAACGAACAAACGGATCGATTACACAGTGCGGAACCAACCTTTGATGGCTGGCGTAGTTATAATTACAAAGAGGAACTAATAGAATGCGAGAGTTCTCTCTAAGGAATACTGTGTTTATAGACAACGAATACAGACTTCGCTAAACGGTTAGAACTGAAAAGCTACAAAGGCTGTCGGACGGGGCTTATTTTAGTGTCTAGATATCATCTCTGCGATATTATTAAGTGTCATTAAAGACCATCAGGAGAAAGTTACTGGTCCGTCGTCGATTCGCCAGCGGCCGATGTTGTTGACATGACGATTGTTTGATAAAAAAAAAACGTCTGGCGAAGGGGATGGATGACAGCCGTTGCATGACCGAAAAAAGAAGCGAAGAAAATAACTCTACAGATTGAATTTGTGGTACTTGCATGTCAACAGTTTATATAGTCGATAGATGCAGTAGATAGATGATGACGAAATTCATGATAGACGAAAATTGAAGAAAGACTCGATCTAGCTGAACGAAGAGATGACACTTGCACAACAAGACTTCTATATGTAAATTCGGCTACTGACACCAGAAGATGCATTTGGTAGTGGTTTACGGGCTTTAATTATACTTGTAATAGGCCATAGAAGGGCAAAAACGAGCTTCAGCAAATCGGTGGTGTGATCTTTTTGATCATTTACAGAAAGCTTAGCTAAACTTTCCCACGTTACCTTCTACAACGGCTGTTAGGAACGTTGTACTTGGCCGCTCTGGCCTTTTACTTCTCACCCGCCACCCCCCTCCCCCCTTCCAGATACAAAAAGGGGAAAAAATTTGAAATGGGAAGCTATAAGGCCGACAGACGATTAGGTGTGCCGATTACAAAAGGCTAAGCCAATCACACCTTCAGCGGCTTTTCTTTGAATATGTTATGAAAATGTGAAAGAAAAAATCATAGATAGTATACCTTCATTAGGGCAAATCCATTTCATCGCTATTAGTGAGTATGACACAGAGTGCGCTAGCGGCAAGCGTCATTTGTATCATATTTACTTCGGCTTCACCAAAACGCTGCATTTTTCAACCTATGACTACTATAAAAAATATATAGCCCCGAAAATCACAATAAAACTCACACGATAAAATTATTCGGTTACGTAGCCCCCTGACTGATGAAACAATCCTGTGTAAAAACAAGACACCTTACTACAGTTAATGATTAGCTTGCGGAAGTCCTACGGACTTTCTTCTACCTAATTCTAGTGCTTACGCCTTAGATATTATACCATATGGAACCTGCAGCGCGTTTATGGGAAAGGTTGTTTACACGTCAACGTTACCGTTTGATACTACTACAATTGTTATTTTAGGGAATTACACGACCTATGTAAAGAATTTAGCCTATTCACCAATCCTCTATTAGATTAGAGACTTTGCCCCCATCAAAGAAGCCTAGAGAATCCGTTGTGCTGAAGGCCCATGAACAGCCCATAAATTTGAGTCAATTCGTTGCCAGTAATAATCGTAATGGCTGGATTACGATTACAGCTGTTGGTATCTCTGCTTGAAGACTTTGCTGAAGAAAATGGTAGTTCTATGAATAGTTACCAATCAATGTGTTTCATTGACACCTTTCACTATCGACTCTGATTGTCTATCGCTCATTACAGACCTGAGAACAAAAGATGCCACTCGATCCCCTTCAGGGAATCAAACTCGTACTCGATTAATCGATCATTTCTCGAACTCCATGGCCAGTCTGGCCGTGTATTTAATTGTTTGAATTGTTTAAAACGGTTGCATTGGATGTCCTTTATAAATACATAGGATACTACCTAGTTATAATAGGCTGGAATAAAATTGATCTATTAAATTATCACAGCCACCCTGTAATGATTACGCCATTAGACGAGTATTTTCCCTGTATATGAGTTCGATACCCGAAGTTCGCGTGAACATTTTTAATATGGCCGAGCGTGTCGAATGAAGTATCTTGACGTTGCTTGGCCTTGAAACAGACGCTACGCCAGACGTAAATTTAATAAGTAAGTGCCTTATGTGTCGAGAAGGACTGTAAAACAACCGCAAGCACTGCGTAGGATCGTTTGGGGGTGGAGAGATTTTGATACAGAAATAAAATGTCTTGAAATGAAACGAAGTAACGCAGATGTCTGCTTTTGTCTCGTTAAGGAATATTTGAAGTTGCAAACATAATTGGGAAACATACTTGGTGATCTAACTAAGAGTTTTATACTTGACTGGACAGCCTTTACACAGCCATGGCAGCTAGATTTGTTGACATATATGCCAAAATATGCAATCAATTTTACTTCTAACTTTGACGGGATCAAGCCATTAACTACACAGTTAGTAAGCTCATAGAGATAGGCGATGAACGATACGAAAATTGCAACACTGCTGTGCCATTGATACGCAGAGACGTTACATCGAACATTCTAATGATCTGGTCCAGTAACCCTCTAATGGCTATACACTGCGCAGGAAAAAGTAATTTGACATCCGCCTACCAAGTCAGTATCTTGTACCAAGCATTCTACCATATTAAAGCTAACGAGCTCTCGTATAGGAAGCGTCTTGGCAAAAAATACCTATTTAGGTTGATTATTAGTTATTACACGATCTGCTCACTACTCCTCGTCGTTTTTTGACCACATCAAACATCAACGGTCATAGCACACCGACCACGAAAGCTTTTGCCACTGCACGGACTGACCGACTGAAGGGCCTTTCTCAGTCCGATGTAAAGGCTGAAGATGAGCACGATATTGTTTTGTCTCTCTGTGGTAAAAACTGTTTCTATATATAATGCATTAGAATCGCGTCTATAGATGTATATAGTGTTTATGTTTAGTACGCCGGCCGCCTTATCGTTATTGCCCTTTTATGATAGCCGCCTACATATGTAGAAGACGTTAAACAGGACTGACGACCACTGCTGGAGCCCTAATAATGACGTAGATACAATATGTTGTTGTCTACTGATTAGTCGGTTAACATACTTTGCATAGTAACAGCGTTACCTCAATATTTTAAGTTTTACGTCACGTATCACTGTTAGGCATCCCATTGGACTATTGGCTCCCAGCACGAAACAAGGTCTCTGTCTATGCCCGAGTTCGAATTTGTGTGCCTCTAAAATTAGGGGACAAATACGTTATCCACAAAGCTATCATGGAGATGACATAGTAACCCAGCGCACAGCTTTCCCAAGTTATATATATAATTATATAAATCAAATTACGAAATGTTAGTTTCTCAGACGTAGTGCATGTATCATACGTATACAAATAATAGCTATCATGCTAGGACGCAACAAGTTCCTGCGTAGAAAATAACACTGTACGATTATGTGCCATGTACATAGGGCGATCAGTGGCATAGCAGAGCAGTCACTAAAGGCAGCTTCAGCCTGACAGTGCAGTTCCCAATGCGGGATTCTGCAGAAGGACAGGCCGAATGAACGGCGTCATAGGCGGCAATTCCTACCGCGATCGCCTCTGTTACCCTCAGTATTTCCACTATCATCATCAGTGCTACTGATGCTAAATCTCGAAGGGCGTTTCGTGGACGTAAACGGTAGATTTGCGGCCAAAAGGTTGGCAGGCTCAACCGCCGCTGTTGCATGACGAAACGCAGTATTATGAATTGAGGGCGGCGTACTGCACCGAACGCATGAAACAGTCGACGGCCGTGGCAGAATGCAGGAAGACAATTAAAGACAAAGCACAAACTACGAAATATTCGAAACGCAGAAATTCGTTCAGGTGTTTTTTGGTGTCTGGCGGAGGTGCGCCATTGCCGCATCATTTCGGATAAAATTTACTGTTTACATGCGTAGTAGCCAGAAGTGTGTGAGTAAACGTATCGAACATCTGTTGCTTCTGCTTCTGCTGGATAAGACTCTGAAATACCGCTAACGACCTCAAAGTTTCCTTCGATTGCGAATTGCATTGGAACTATTACCGCCGTTTATATAGTTACTAGGCCATCAGGCCTTGTTTGTAGAACGAGACCAACAAAAACAATAATATGCATATGTAAATTATTACTACAGTACTAATCGTTTCTGTAAAACGAAATTGTATAGGGTGCCTGTGGAGCATTTTGCGTCGTGCTTACGATATACTAGAATTCTATTAACAGCAAACATTTTTTTTACGTGCATATAACGCTAGAACGCTATTGAAGGATATTTTGCATTATGACAGACACTCAGCTGAATTAATACCAAGCGGTCTCGCTTTGAAACGTAGACTAGTTAGTTTCCGTCGCCCCAGGTCGATGTCATGGGCGGCATGACGATCACTGCCAAACCGCTTCTCGTTATAGAGCGTGCATATTTGTTGATAGATCTATACGTTTAAGTGAAATGACTGAATAACTTGCTTATAACGCACCAAGAGAACCTAAATTATGTACCACGCTGATCTTCGAGTATATTGGGGAAAGACACCCTTTTAGTAATGACCACCCTCGAAACATATTCGCAATGATAGCGTGCGTTCCTAACTCATGCACGCGCGTGCCCGTGCTGTTCCAGTCTATCTTTTTACGGAAGTGTTTAATAGACGTTAGCAGGGGGCACAATATTATAAGATCCTTAATAATAGAGTAGCAATTAGAGAGGCTTTTAATCTTCTTGCTACATCTATAGCTTTTTCCCTCTGGATTGTCTTCGCGATTGTCGACTAAGCTGAACATTATAAACACGTATATTTATCATTTATAGTTCTCTGTATGTACATGATGATAATTTCCTACGCATGCAATAAGTAGCAGCTTAAACAGCAATTGAAACTACGCTTTGTAACTGTATTTCGAAAAATTCCGACAAGGACGGCCTGTGATGTCCTTTATCATTTACTTCACGAAGTGCTGTATTTGGAAATTCGGAAAAAAACTGTTGATTTTTTACGTATTCGGTTCTGACGACAATCCCAAACATCCAATGTTTTCAAGCCAAAAAATTAATGAATGGATCGATCTGAGACCCCATGCACGCAAGAATCTGTGATCGCCATCTAGCATCAGCAATAATAGTGATACTGTTCTTTTTTTATTTCAGCTCTCGGCAGCAGTGAGCGGCCCAAGAGAAAACAGGTGATCCAGCTGCTGTCCGCACTTTGCGTCTACAACAAAGAAAAAGGCTACCGACGAGTACTCGAGACCCTCGACCACTTTAAGGTTCCCACATTAATATGGATCAATATGAAAACCATATGCAGCACACCAGTGCGGTTTTGTATGTCACAATAAATTTATGGATGGCGCTCGTCCTATATATTTTTTTCTATTCTTTAGCTTTTATGATAATTCTGTATTTATATATAATGAAAATAGGGAACTGCTCAGTCTCTACCGAGGTCAGCGAGAATCATACACGTATAGCGGAGGAACTTTGCAGGAACTAAATAAGTATACGCGTCGACTCATTGTTGCTAAACACAATATTCGTTCTTTGAGTCTCAGTCCATAGCTTGTTACTACCGTTACTATGCATTGCTTTTTATATGAATGTGCACATCCTAGAATTTAGAATTTAAGACTTGTCAATTTAGCCCGGTATTCATTCAGTGATGATTTACAATGGGAACGTGGGAAACCTTTCGTGCCAGTCTATTTAGTTAAACAACCTAATAGGATATAGATATACTGTTCTGTAGTCTTAGGGAGACAGGGATAACGATACTTACCAGTGTACTAGGGAGAAAAGACACGGTGGATTGTGTTATCCGGTTTAACCTGATAAACGGGTTTATAAAGTGAGTGTTTGTTGAATAAATTTCAGACTAATCAGGGCGCCCGCTACCGGCTCGCCTTTATTGTTGAGGAGCTTCGAGATTGTTCGATACAGGTGAGCAAACTTCATTTGTCCCTTAAGAGTAAAAGTACACACCCCCTGTTTAATCAACATCTGGTAGATGTCCTATAAGCCAGCGACATTTTTTTCGGGCGTAAGGATAGCAATTGAGGCAGTTTCTGATCTCGACTTCGTCTTCCCCACTTTCAGACGAGCGATGGATTCCGTTCGGAATACTCAGCAACGCTGCTGGCACTTGTTAACTGTCTTCTCGTCAGTGCACCTTCTCTCACGGAAAGGGTGGCTATCCGCAACCAGCTGCTTGGCCTACGACTCTACGACGTCTTAGAACTAATCAAGTACTGAGACGTTTTTCTTAAGCCTGACATTTAATTGGTCGAGAACGTTCCGTTCCTTCCATAGAATCGTGCTCAACAGAAAGCCATATATGAGGACTTTAAGAAGTCATACAAACGTATCCACTTTGCAGGGCTTAAGTCGACTGACTAAACCAAATTCATCTGTTTTTTTTTTTGAAAAACACAAAAACAGAATTTTTTGCCTAAGCCTATATGCGTATTGGTCCTACCAAAAACTTTTTTTATTTATATTTTATCGATTCATACAAAACTCATTAATTCACTACAGTCCCACCTGTTCAAAACAACTGTGGTGTGTGAGTGTCCCTGTGTGTGTTTAGGCTTATAGATGAGCCGGTAAAACTGGGGTAAGGTTTCATGAAAAATTGAGGTATAGCTACTGACTACAGATAGCCCTTTGGGCACCTTTGCACTCGAACGCTAACGTCGATCGTTAACCGTATCTATTGTTAGTGAGTCGTATATGACAAACAATGGTCTGAACATAGATGTAATACTAGAAAAACAAACATCGAAAAGTTGTGCAGATTCGCTAACGGTAAATATTTCGATGGCCCTCGTGCGTCCTTTAAAATTTCCTAGTGCTGGGCGTTATATGGTTTAGCTGCGCTCGACTAACGTACAAATGTATCTTTTGGATGAGATAACATTCAATATATGTTTAATGAGTAGAGAGCCTTAGATGTGTTAGAGTAAGCATGATCAGTGGTGTGTGACCTTGCAACGACTATAGAACTCTGCGATATTTGATTTTTGAACTTCTTTTGATCACATTCTATTGCACAAATATCCCATATGTGTCCGTACAGGTCTAACTTTTGGAATGACTCGGTAATCACCGTTCTGGTTCGAAACATCATTGATGCTCCTGTTGAAGTCGTAGTTGTATTTCAAAATTTCTCCCGACAACATTAGCTCGAATCAATTCGTTTCGTTCTCCTCTCATGAATAACAGATTCTGCAATCAACTAACACAAACCTAGAAGCAGGCCCACATCATTAAACAGTCTGGTCGGTGTGAAGGACTGGACGGATGCCTTTTATCACACTATTGGCAAATCCAAGATATGATGTGCTTTTGACTTTTTTTTACAATGTTTCTCAAGTAGTGATGGGCATTTGCCGCTGATTGAATAATGAAACAACATTTGAATATTGTGAGAGCAATTAATTTGTTCGATCCTCCTTCTTCTTTTTATTATTATTATTCCTTAATCGGTTTTTTTTTTTTTTTTTTTTTCGAAGACTACGACGAGAAGCCGGTCACTTTACAAACGATATGACGGTGCAGCTTGAGGCATTCGAAGCTCAAAGGTATACTGACGAGGGACAAATCAACGGACCGGATGGCGTAGACCTCAATTCACACCTGGAGGTAATAATTTTTGGACAATAAAAAGAATAGGGTAGAATTGTGCATTTTGTTATCTTGTAATGAGTTCTAGACATCTTAGAAATGCAGTCAGGCTGTGGACAACTTCTGTTGAGAAGGCAAGAGTCGGACATACAGGACGACCTTAATCAGTAACTAGCAGTCTACGAATTACTCTGATTTCGTACAAATAAAGTAGGAATAAGCGGCTGACAGCAGGAGTGTACCTGATTTAGTGAGTGTGTCATCTTGTAATTCGTATAGTTACATACTACGACATTGGTATGGTTATATACTATTACAGAACACAAGATCGTAATTCCTTATTAGATTCATTTTATTTGTTTATTTATTGCGATCAAAATTACAGGTGTTTTACGCGATACTTCGACAGGTGTCATTAACTCCACAGCAAGCACCATTTCTCGCTATTCTTCAAAATCTTCTTCGCGTCGATTATACACTGGTAAGCAAAAAAAGAAAGAACTCTTCCATACTTGAGTGTACATTCCATTTTTATACTATTTATTTGAAGATGCGAAGTTAGACTTATTTTTCGCTTAAATTTAGGCCGGCACATGTTTATTTTTTTTTTTAGGAACCTATATTTGGGCTCTCGATTCAAATATTTAGTTATATGCTTAGGTTTATTAACTGATTTTAATCAACGTAATTCAATCACCGTTGATCTCTTACAAAAATAACTGGCATTACTTATCTTGTAGCTGCGAACCAAAAGATGAATAGTTGTTATTTTTATTTACGTCATTTTTGTATTTGAAATCAGGTAAACACAATTGTGTAATATTGAGGTATTTTTTAAATCAACTACCGCGCAATTAATATTATTCCAATTAAAGGCGGGTAAATGGTTTTACCCTGTATATTTTCTTTGTCCGGGGACTACGTCGGAAGGCTTTAGAATATATCTCGTTCTTGAAGAGCAGATGACTTTGCCTTTCAGTCGTTGGGTTGTCTTTCTGTAAGAAAGTAGTAGTCTTAGTAGAATAACTGTTCCATTAGAGCTTTGTCAAGGCTAACTTGTGTGCCACGGGGGGGAAGAGGGGCCCGCCTCCCTTACTTTGATTACCTTAATTCTGCTAGCGAATGTTAGAATATTGAAACTAAGGATATTTACAAGGAAGCAATAAATCTTTTATTTTATTCGTCGGATACAGACACACTAAATCTATTCGACGCGCGAATTCATTATCTAATTCATAGTAGGCGCTGATACTTCTTTTGTCGATCCGACCACTTCGGATCGTGCTCTCTATTGGGTATACCTAAAAGTCAATTTGACCATTTAGATTTCGAGCTTCTGGCGATAATCATATCTGTTATGCCTGAACAAGTATCTCAGGGATGAGGCATTACATGCAAATATGTATTACGAAATCGGAGACTTATAGCTTAAAGATGCACCTGTCTTTGGCCAGTAAGGTTGTGTGTCACGTATGGCGCGTCGATAATAGATTATAGGCTACTGCTTACTTACGATTAATGCGCGCTACCTAGTTCCAGTCACACGTTAAATACGTACTTCTGCAGTACTTACGAAACTACGAGTACTTATGAAGAGGGCAAACCGAACACTTACGCTCCGAAGAATCGTCAAATATTGAAAGAGCTGAACCGTATTACTGTGTGGTGCTTAGATAGGTTGATGTTTATTTCTAGCCGTGTATACATACGTTGGTTAACTTATTCGTCCAGATCAGTGTTTTAATCAGTGTTTTAAAATTTGCAGGGTATTATCACAGTTACCTGGAGTCGTTTTAAGAACTATTTACCCACTTTGTACATGTAACGTGGTTATGAACACGTGAATCGCACGCCCTTTTGCTTGATAGAGCTTTGAAGACAATGCATATAAATTTGCTTGAATTTCTTCAAAATATAGATGCATCTGCCGAAGCTGACTAATGTATTAGCGGAAGTGCCTTCCGATCCTAAACAAAGTGGAGTTCCTGCCCAAGCCAATGCTGTGTCGTATCTCGTATTGTTGTACATAGACATACACAAACATCGACTGAAAACTAAGAACGCCGGTTTTTAAACACCAAAAAAATAGCAGAAATGCAGGGCAGCACATGATTGTCTTTTAGGTAAATACATGGGATTAGTTTTGAATATAATACAAAGCGAGAGATCCTCAAACGGAGGTCTAATCTGAAAAAAAAATAATTGCCACACATACGTTGCAAATTTAGTTAATTCATTAATAATTTAAACACCTCAAAATCCAGCTAGTGCGAAAGTATTTGGACTTGGCCAAAAAAACGTATACAGATTTACATATAGCCTTACACCTGTTTCGTAATAACTCCGTAATTGCTATCATCATTATGTCTTATTATTATCATTATTATTATTATTAGTGATTAATATCATCTGTCTGTTCCATGCAGCCAATTGCGGACGTGATCTGGAGTACGGCGTCCAAGTTGGTCGAGAGAGTCACTTCTATCGAGAAGCCACAGGACGCCGAACGACTTCTATTGCGATGTCGGTGCGGCGGATCCGCTGGAAGCGGGGGGGACCGTTCTTCGTTAGCATTGGGAGCATCCCCTAGAGGTTTGTCCCCACAGCCGCCGCAATCACCCGCCCCGTTACCGTCATCAACATCGCCGCTGCCGCCTAAACATACAATGGTGTCTCCTGCTTCACCAGTAGCAACGGCAGTCCCACCGCCACCCCCACCGCCGCCACTTGCGGTACGTAGCACCTCATCACACGCAACATTTTTGGTTATTTATACAGTATATTATATAGCCTATTTCGATGAACGCTAAGTATCAGACAGCTAGTATGGCCTCCTCAACACAAAGAGCGCGTATTTGACCGTACTACACGCGAATATTGTGGCCCAACTTTTGTATGTCTTCATTTCACAGTCACAGAACTATAGAGCCAACATATCAAGCGGTAAAGCAATACACGAATGTCTCGTAGATGCTGAGTTGAAATATGTAAGCAAAACATGCGAGGGGTTTATGAACAAAGAACAAACAGTTAAATGAAGAAAATGAATCGGCTACTATGCTTGAAGGTCTTATCGACTTACTATAACTTTCTGTATTTGCGCAAATTGTGCGGCACCCACTAATTATATGCGTTTCCTAAGGATGTTTAATGTGTCGGATGGGCCAAAGCTTGAGGAGTAGTTACCGAAGCCAGAGAAGGATCAGCAACCCATTTTAGTGGTTTCAGGTGGGTCTGAATAGCGGACCAGCACCGCCGCCTCCACCGCCACCGCCGTTGGCGAACAGTCCTATTGCCCGTCCCGGAACTGCCACCGTCCTCGGTGCTGGAGGTGTCCGGATGCCAAACGCTGCAGCAGTTGCTCCGGCGCAACTTTTACCCCAGCAATGGACGCCGAAACCTCGAAGCAAAATGAAAACGCTCAACTGGTGCAAAATTCCGGCGGGGCGCGTGCTCGCTGGCGGAAGCGGTGGCGACAACTTATGGGCCCGTGTGGCGGCATCACATAATGGTACCAATGAATCCCTATTAGACTTTGAAGGAATGGAAGAACTCTTCTGTCAGCAACAATCACAACCGTCCACGCCACAAATGCAGAGGAGGCAACGCACCAGCCAGCGAAAAGCACAAGAGGTCAGTCAGCGTCGTCAGTCTGTTAGACTAATTAATAATGGAGCCATCGTCCTTCTAGAATATGTACAGTAAACAATTTTGGTTATTTATACAGTATATTATATAGCCTATTTCGATGAACGCTAAGTATCAGACAGCTAGTATTCGGAAAAAAGCGGGTGGAAATCAATATCGCTAGCTTATGAACTGCATCGAGATGATGTTAGGTATTTACGTGTATTTTTTTTCTACGTATTGACGGAGACAACTTCGAGAGATGAGCTATAATACTATAGTGAAGGATGAACTATAATTCATTTCGATCCCGGCTTTTACTTTGGACCAAGGCCGCAACAGTATACTCACATACTTACTATGACTATTAATTTGTTAGGCCCTCAATCAATCATAGTCACAATACAAATAATCTAACGGATTAGAATCTACGTTAGATACGTAGATAGATCTACGATAGAGCGCTGTAGTCATAATGCTATACTGTAGGTCTATTCACTTTCACCCGGCAAACCGTGTACTATTTTCGCGCATGACGGAAAGCGTCATCTTCTTTCCGAAAAAGCGATGGCCTACTAGTCGGCATAGCAACCATCTGCGGTTTCATTACAATTTTTGAAACTCCCAATTACGCCTTTTTTGTTACGGGTATGTTTTTATGGGTGGGGCGGGTATGTGGGGGTCCATGGTGGGCTCAAACGTAAATAATCTCATTTCAGTGACGATGACCGGACACTTTTTAATTGAAAGTGAATTTTCGGTTGTCTCGGCTATCAATTTTTGTATTCACATTGAATATGTTTTCATCTAATCAAGGACCGCCTGCTGCTCCGGAAATTGCATCTGCCCCTTTGGCAGCTGTATGCACCGTAGAATACGGTAACCTGCTGATTTCGAGTAACTAAGAACGTCTATGATCCCGATTGGGGTTCATTCAACGCGAAGACATTAGGAAACGATGGGCTTCGCTCAAACTGAAGACGAACTCTCATCCCCCGCCATATTCAGTTTGATTCGAAAGTATTAGCTTTATCCGAGTATTAAGAACAGTGGATGGTAAACAAACAGCCCTCCACATCACTTTCCAATTTATCTTGTGCATTTATTCATTTCACATAGTTTATGTAAAGTAGTAGGGGCTGAAAATGATAAATATACAACATCTGTTATGAGTTATGATTCAGTTAATTTAGGAAAACGTTTAACTACATATTAAGATTCACAGGTAGGTTAGCTGATTTAGTTGGACTGCACTGAGCGGAAAGATACCTAGGACATATAGCTCTCATTGGGTTTGTGGTATCCTTGCGCTTCGCAAAGAGGATTATGGAACCCGTGCACTGTGAATCGTTTTGATTTTTCTTCTTTTTTTTACTTCTGTTTACTTGTTTCCAGTTGTTAAAATAATAGAGGATCTACATTGGCCAATTTTAATTTTTTGTCGAGAGTTGATCGATTTTTCTTGCTCTTTGATAAATATCGGGTGTCGATCGATAGATACATTAAGCGGCTACGTGCAGATTTGGTCTGCCATACACATATATATATATGGCTTTATATATAAATGGCTTCATATATATGGGAATATTGAGTTTTCCCTGACCAAATTTAGTAAATCCTAGCTTTTATTGAAATTTTATCCGTGGCAGACGACACAATTCTCCTACTAAATATCTTGACTGCTATCTTATCCGTTGTGACCGTGTGCTTCAACGCGGTCAGCAGAGGTTTCCCAGCAAGTGTCAAGCCGAGTTACGTAAAAGAATTGACAGTTTTTAGGGGTTATCCTGTTCAGATAACGCAAATCACTGTTGATAAATTTTTATCCTCTTCTGAATATCATAGCCCTTGTGTTGATCTCATATTAATGAGATCAACACAAGGGCTATGAACGCCCAGCTCGACAGCGTAGTCATTTTCATTCATCATCAATGTTTGTTGCAGGGGCAACCTACTTATGCTGTATATGGCAAAGTCGTCCACGTATAGGTTCACTCTTTACGAGAGAGTGTTTTGCTTGATGCCAAAAGGAAACTCGTTGATGGAAAACATGAAGGAAATATGGAACTGAGGTTATCGCTTTGTGCGAATCCAGTTGACTGTTTGACTTTATTCCTCTTTGCGATGTATCATCATCAACTTTGCAGGATATCCTTCAGTATACATGGCACCTCTGAAGACACCCTCAGTTATGCTAGGTTTCCCTATACGATGGTTCTCAAACTCGAGTCGACTTAACTTGTCTGTCCGGCTTGTTTATGTACTCCCATTCACTGTGTATTTAATGTGTACGTGATTTCAATATAATAATAGAACTTCCAGGTAGATAGATATGTATGTAAAACGCACTAACATCACCGATAACGGTGACTTCATGCCAATTTACAGGTGACTCTTCTAGAAGGAAAACGCTCATTAAACATTTCGATATTCCTTAAACAATTCCGCTTTCCCACAGTTCAGCAGGAGAGTATTGCTTCGATGATCCGAAAGGGAATGCATCAGGAAATCGGTACGAGATACAATGTTAAAGTTTTGTTATGAATAAGGAATGAATGTGAGCCGCCGATTTCATATAGTGGAATTCGGTAATGGGTACAGCAATGAATATTCAGTACCTCATATTCTTTTGTGAAGGGACAGAACATTCACATTCAGCCATCGACTTCCTATATTTCAGGTGCGGAACGCCTTCGGGGCCTATTGAAGATCCTTCCGGAACCTGAGGAGATTGAGTTGTTGAATAACTTTGATGGGGACATAGCTAAACTCGGACCGGCAGAGCAGTTTCTTCTTCAACTGATCCACATACCCGATTATAAGCTACGCATTGAGTGTGAGGCCCCTGATCGCTTCATCTTTCCTAAAATGTCATGACTGGAGTACGGGAAACATATCCCGTAAACCGGATCTAGACATGTGCGCAACATGCACACAATGCAGTCTTCTGCTAAAACGGCTGGCACACAATTAGCCCTAGTGCTACGTTATGTGCTGGTCCAGTGCGTGATACAATATTGTATTCTTGAGAACAAAACATATCATGTGAGACATCTCGGTTAAGTGGGTGATACATGTAGGTTTATGGAAAGTGGAGAACTAGCACAGTTCTCTCCGTGCATGAGGTTATTGATTTAACGATAGTAGTAACGATTGTCATCACTGTCGTCACCAAAAGCAGGTACTAGACACTTTTTGCGTTTTATTTCTTTAGGCCAATTGTTGAAGGAGGAGTTCACAGCGACGATCGGCCTGCTCGAGCCCTGCATCAAATCGATTCGTTGTGCGGCGCACGAGATCGAGGATGCCACAAAATTACATGAAATCCTCTATATGATTTTAGTAGCGGGTAACTTTTTGAATTCGGGTGGGTACGCGGGAAACGCCGCTGGGTTCCGCATGATGTCGTTACTGAAAGTCACCGATATGCGCGCAAATCGTCCCGGCATGAATCTCATTCATTATGTTGCTATGGTAAGCAGATATAGTATGTAAACAACATACCTACTTACATTTGACAAATACTTCGGATAAAGCCAAACTGCATATGAAGGTTATGCGAAACGCTGTACTGCTCACACGCAACTTCAACAGACTACTCGAAATATCCTGAGAATAAAGAGCGCATCAGAGGCTGAGGTTTGTTAACTTGTACTACTATCCTCAATCACAGGAAGCGGAACGTAAACAGCTTCTCGATTTCGGGAATCAACTGACATCTCTCGAAGAAGCTGCTCGACTGTCGATCGACACTTTGAAGAGTGATGCTGACACCCTAAGTACCCGTGTCGCGAATGTATCAAATATGGTAGCTTCTGCGCATACGTCAGACCTCCAAGGTCAGATGAATGATTTTCTCTTGTCCGCCCAACAACGAATTGAAGATACGAAACAACAAATCGAATGGTTGGAGCAGGTTCGAACTAAACTGGGGACCTTTCTCTGTGAGGATCTCGATTCTTTCAAGCTGGAAGAATGTTTCAAGTAGGTGGACCATTGAAAAAGTGTTTCTAGAGGAGAGCGTTGACGTGTTCCCATTTTGATCTATCTATAATTCACTATCTACAATGTTTGAATCCGGGTTGTCTTGGCCAAAAAAAAATGCTATGGACCCAATGGGAGCAGATAACTGAACCATGGTAACATCACAGACGTAAATCCATCTATGCAATTGCTTTGTTCTTCAGAGTCTTTTGGAATTTCTGCACGAAGTTTCGGAAAGCCGTCGAAGAAAACGAAAAACGTGCGGAACAGGAACGGAAAGCTGAGGCACGCAGGAGACTTCGAGAAGACCAAGCAAAACGGTAAATTTCGTATAAACGGTCCAGTATAATTAATTTGGATGCTTGTAATTTAGCGTTAAATTAATTTCCATTAAAATTTCTAATCACCCAAATTTGCATCCAGTTGGTCCTAGTACGTAACCGTTACTAATTTTGATTGGACATTGGATTTTTGCCTTAAAATGTTTTTTTTTTTTATTATTTCGATTTACCAATCAATTGCTCACTTTAGATTGCTCAGTCGAGGCTATACCTAGACGTATCATCCGCGAATGTAATGAAAACAGTATCGATTTTAGATGCTAAAATGAATATCTGTACAGATATACATTGTATAGTATAGAGATCAATTGGGTATAATAGTAAATGAATCCTGGAAAATGCGCGTCTTTATGTAGGCTTAGCGTCGAGTTTTCGGGGAGTGAATCGGACGTTATGGATATGCTCCTTGGAGATATTAAATCTGGATTCCCACAACTCTTTAGCAAACTTCGCAGAAACCGCAGGTACGGAATTGCCGAGCGCAGTCAATTTTTCTGAATATAACTGAGTTAGTAGTAGTCGCCGTGGCCCCTGAATACAACTTACTGAAAACGTTACGACAGTGTCAATAATTAATTACTAAATATCGTTATCAACATTAAAAAGTAATTTTTTTAAAATATTCGTCTTTATTCGCAGAAGTGACAATAACTCCGAGGACGATTCCGTATCGCTTGGGCTGGCCAATTCCCCACGCCTTATGAGGAGATCCCATTTTGGCTCATCTCTTGCGTCCATGGCTGACAATGAGGTAGGTAGGGTTGGGCACGACGACAGCATATAAGCTCCTATAAGTTGTTATTCAAACGAGTCAGCTAATGGGAAAAGCCTCCAGAATGGTGCCTTTCTTTTCCTGTTTCAGACGGATTAATATCTCATTTGCAATCGTTGCCAGATTTCATGTTGAAGATTGTTCATATAGTACATAGTACTGTTCACTTTTTGGATTGGTAATGGAGACATCGTTGGATTCGTGTTCTGCTATCCAACGTGCGTCCAATCTGCGATGTTCGTTATTTCTTTTTAAACCAGACATCTGCTAGAACTTCTACCGATGAAGATGTTGAAGGGAAATGCAAGATGTTCTAGTGCAAAATATCTGATAACTAAGTGTACCGAATTAGTCATTATTGAACTAGTTAAACCGTTGAATTCTGTGGGTACATACTGGAAAGCTTCTAAGCAACTCGCAACCTATATCTTATATTATTTTCAATATAAAAGCCCGGTAATTAATATGAAAAATTTCTGCTGCGTCACAGAGTCCCGATGTCACTCCAACAGGTTCCCTACGAAAACGCCGGAACCGTTCATCCTCGGAGTTTGACGATAATGCAGATCTTCTAGATTATCTTAAGCAGGCAGAGCAAGCTCAGCAACAAGGTATGAATAGCAGGGTGCTCCCGAGATCATTTGAGGTACGCCAATCTTGACCAAACAATATTCATTTTTTCTCGTTCGTTTCAAAAATCCAAACACGTAACGTTTCATATAGTAATTAGCGCCTAATTTTACCTGCGAGTAGTCTGTCTAACTGGGTTTTTGTCACAGTTCCTTTACATAGCCATACTTGTATCATATCTCAGCAGGCTGGCATCGACGATCGTCCCGGCGCCTGAAAACCGAAAACTCGGAGAATCCGAACCTTGAGACGTTGCACGAGCGACCAAAGCATCTCGATGAGCTTCATCAACAAAAGCAACAGTTGGTGCACAAGAAGTCGAAGTCACCGGAACCCCAGCCACCAACGCCGACTGGCGTTCGGGGGAGCACTTCTGCTCAGACCAAACATGAAGCAATTAGCAATAGTCATGGAACGCCATCTGGAAGTGCCACTGCCGTTGCTGCTAATATCAGCGGGTTACCGGAAGTCCACACGGAACGACGAGCATCCCTAACGAATGTCGTCCGCCCAATGGTACCACAGCAACAGCAGCAATCGCCATTGCCGTCTCAACAGCAACAAATGACGCCAGTCGGAACCTCCGCTCTCGTCGGCGTAGTCCCCGATTGTGCGATGCCGGCTGTGTATTCGACGTCGAGGCCAATGTCAACGCTGAGGTCATCGCAGGTCGAGGACACCGACACGTCAACCGGTGGGGAAAGTCCCGTTTTAATGCGTCGCAAAACTTACCACAGTCTAAAAGAGCCAACTGGAAGTAACAAGACAAGACACTCAACGCCTGTCAGGAGCGGTGGGAACTTCTTTTGTTCCGTTCGGTGGAATTGATTTAACGACATTTATTTGACTCTTGATATGCAAACATTAATCAAAATTTAGATATGAACGCTGCTCGTAACAGCCATACGAATTGGGACACGTTCCGTGCCAGGGATGGGGTGGGCTACCTCGAGTCCCCATTTTGATAATAACATCCGCTTTTTGACTAATAACATGAATAGTGTTAGAAATTTTAGAAGGGAGTAGTGCCGCGTATGCAACGTCAGCAGCTATTCAGAAGTGTGCAAACTGTCTTGCAACCTGTATAATAAAACGCACTTCTTTTACTTGTACAACTAGAACTTTAAGTTCAATATTGTGCAGATCTACGATGGCGGCACTGTAAGGCCGTTATTAGGCCTTATATATATTCAATGCTAAAGGTTGTTTAACTAAATATCAGTTTATTTCGTCCAATCGCAACGCATGTTCTTCCTCATTCTAGCTACAGATGAATTAGCTATCGGAAGCCCAGGAGGAAACATGGGACAGTCCCATAGCCTTCGATCTGGTCGATCATCAATTAACGGAACATCAGATGAACGCCGTTCCCTCCGCCAGCTGCGTGCAAAACATGAGGGAAACGGTAGCCGGCGAAGTAAAAAAGAAGATCAGCCACACAAAGACAGTGATAGTCCAACAATCAGATCTGTAATTTCATCACCAATCGGAGTTAACTCAGGCGTTAATAAGAACGATGAGGAAGACGACTTCGACTCAGAGAGCTCCTTTGATAGGTTAGATATCACCATAGATAATACGACTGTTATCGTTATTAGCTAGCTTGAAGCGCTGGTTAACGACTCATTTACTAATGACTGATCATTGAACAATAACGGATGCTCAATACATGAGAAGCGCATTCATTGTGAAAGTAAAATATTTCTACAATATTAATTACATACTGCTTACCATTTTATACGATCATTACATTACGAACTTTGATAGAAGGCAAAAACGGGTTCCAAAGAAACTCGCCCTAAATGTTCAGCAGAAAGGGGACAGTCGAACTAATCAATCGCACTCTCTGCACTATTCCGATATTTTCCTTCTTACATAAATATACTATGAAATATTATTACAATGTTTGCTACTAGATTGTATCAACTACTAGATTGTTACAACTTGGAAAAATACTGCAATATAAAATAATGTACGGTTTCTATAGCCTTTTAATTGTATTTTGGGTGTTGCACTTGTCGAAGCAAAAAGAAACAAGGTATTTTTATTGAGGTGTGCAATAATAGTAGACTGCGGCTTGATGCAGGTTCTCGCCCGTTCGCAAGACTACACGAAGGACCTCGGCTCGGTCACTGATGGCATTGCCTTCAAAGGTGAGTTAACTTGCGCGTTGCAGCCAGCTCCATGAGTAGTTCTGAACGTTAATTTTTGCCGCTTTTTTTTAACGATAAATGTGTTTTTACCGTTACATTAATCTCGGTAGCCAAAAAAAAAGAGCATATATAAGGCAGTGCTGTTTCGCGTAAATAGACTTTTGTTACACGGCCCTTTTGGATGTACCAGTGACCTCCTATGTACCAGTAAATCCTGCTTCCACGTGCCCTCGACGTCATCGAGCAGGCTTGCAAAAGCTGGGCATTTCATCAGCTCCTTTCTGAGCCCAAATCAAGGGTTTCTGGTTGGCTATTTGTAAGGCGTACTAAAACAGGTAGGGTCTCTTCGTCACATTCTCGAACCACGCGATCCTTTTTCTATGAAACTCTTCAACGAACCCCCGCCCACCGCCTTAGTCCTAGTGCAAATGACGGTCCATTGCAGGTATATTTCAGCATTTGTTTCGGGATAATTAATGGCGTTGTCCTTTGTCTCTTCATTCTGTTCCTTCTTTATTAGACAAAAAAAGTTAAGCTTCTTTCAACGCTTTGTTCATCTCCTTGGCGCTACACTTCCTGCCAGCTTGACACCGGTCGACTTGGTAGTCATACTGCTACCGTACAGTGACCTTGCAGATCCTAATCAGCCTTCTGACTTAGTCCACTATGTAGAAAAAGCAACGACTAACTAGGCATATGAAATGTCATATTTAGGCGTTGCCCACAAGCAGGTACTAACCTGCATTAAGCATTCATTTACTTTACTGGACTGAACGCATATAATTGAGCTCATTGTTACATTGAAACTATGATACGGATAACGAGCTTTACTGGGCCAGAGTACTACGGGTGATTTAGTGAATCTCAGATTCGAATGTTCAGCAAACGAACACTTCCGTAAACATTTGTTCTATCCTTAGAAGATTGATAGTACGATTCTTCCCTAAAGAACACATTGCATTGTTGTATTGATGTTGATTTCTACTAGAAATAAAGCTCGTGTTTCATGTGTGCCACTTTAATAGCTTATTGTAACAAATAATAACAACTAACAGGCGACACCGTCCTTCCAAATTTAATCGTCATACAAAAACATTTTGCCAGATAGGTAAGCCTCTACGAGGGAAAACATGAGCATGTATGGACCGCATTCACACATGGAACAAATAGGCGTCTCGGGTATCCAACCGTTCACTCGCTTGTCCTTGCACTGGATTTCTCGATTCTTCTGTTGTGCACCTTATCGAACTGAGGGAAAATTTTCATACAGAACGGCTTGGAGATGTTCCTTTGTGAACGCTCGCATAGGTGCTCGAAGCAACACTTGCTTGTTTTGAATTTAAAACTTCCATAAACAACTACCACCATATCATATTCTCGCCATTTTCGTCAAAAAACAAAGACTCTTCTGCGGCGTAGCATAAACATATTTAACCTTTTTTTTTATGAGGCACAGCCTCCCTACGTTCATTCGACTGCACGTTCATTTGAACACATTACAGGCCAAAATATCCGGTCTGTTATATTTGACAGTGCTTTCCACACATACATTAACAAGCATGAAGGAAAATCGGCTCATAGCCATTAGAAAATTTGCCTTTCACCTTATACAAGTGAATATAATAATAATAATAATAATAATAATAATAATAAATGTAGAGATTAATTAATATAGCCACCCTTAGAGGTACAACGTTTATGCTAGATTAATATTAAAATATTAAACGATATAAGTCTTTAGAATCTGAAGTGTATTGAAGGACATACTCAATAGTGGACCATTAAAATACTTAGAACTGTCCCGATTGCCCGAACAGCTCTGAAGCCTGCTATATTTAGACGCTTCGAATATTCTCGCTTGGAGTACTTATCAAATCATATTCACAGACACAGACACAGAACGTATAGATAGCATTGGCATGTCTCATAGAAGACTGAGCGTAGGGGATAGCAAGTTTCCATAGGCCACGCAACTGGATTAAAAAACTGGCCGAAAAAACGGACAAGGAAGGCAATTTATTTACATCTTCTGACAGATGAAAAGCAAATGCAAAACTCACCAGTCTTTGTTCGTTCGTTTGTCAGACCGAAACATGTCATAACAAAACTAGCTAACCGTTTACAATTAACTTTACATGCATGTTGGGGTTCCATGTCGACGACTGGTTAGATGTGTTGATCTTGTAACAAAATTGCCCCCTATACCCACGAAATCACAGTGGGTGCTATCTAAAACATCTAGTGTATATTACGTAGACGCCATATTCGATGACTAGAAAAGCTGTCCTAGAATACGCGTTCAAGACGTGATTCAGCCTGAGATCACCCTAAAATGTCTTATCTTCTTTTCGTATTGTTACTCGTCAGATTACGTAATTTTCCTATATTTGATAAAGCTTATTACGTTTTATGGTATGAATTCTCTCATTATTGTGTTATTATCAGTCCCACGTTGAGGACCAACGTATTATCAATTGACTTCATTGAAATACATGAAAACTTTACCAAGATTCCTTTTTCTCTATGCTATTCTTAGGAAAAAGCTGGGGCTGAGTTTACTTTGGGCGAAAAATCATCCAGATCCCAGGAAGAATTATTGACGAAAACTAAAGACAAAGATGACAAATCATTAAGAGCCAGGCTTGCTAGGAAGATCCATTCCATCACCGACAATATCAAGGGTGAGCTAGAACCAAATACGTGAATTAGCAGTTGGAGCGTTCCTGAACATTAGGAGCATATAGTAATGCACCTAACCTAACCTAACCTACGAACATAGAACCCTTCTAAGTTTTCTTCCAGTCAAGCGGCAATCCGAAAAAAATAATCATTTATTTGTTGGACAGCGTCTAATGTTAATAGAATTGAGTTACTTAAGTGGTATTATCCAATCACACATTCAACAATTGTATACTAAGCAGAAATAACCTTTCTACCCGTAAAAGACCAAACTGAACATAAGTTATAGCTAAAGGGATAATGCGCTACCTTTCTTTCTTTTCGTTTAGCTGTATCAGAGCGTAAATCATCTGACGAGGATAAGGAAAAAAGTGGTGTGTCTTTGGCATCGACGAAAGCAAACAGCATCGGTTGTACCCGTGTATCAGGAATACCCGTAAAGCGAGGCATTCCCATACTAACTGGTTAGTTCAATACGATTCTAAAAGATCATGAGGTTGTCACGATTTCCTTCGGAGATGTATACTGGGACCTTTAAATCCAAAGGCGTAGTGGTTAACTATCGTTCTATGTAAAACATTCACCTTTCGGACCATACTTTTGCCTGGAACTGTGTTCTATGGCGAATCTTTTCCACAATGTTTAACAGTTGGCCTTGGCTTACTTTGGCTATACAAACAAATGCTGCTTTTATTAATGAACGAATCAACTATGCTCTTACTTCATTTTAAAGCGTACCAGAAGAAACAACGTTGGTAAGTCTCACAATAGAGAGCTGATGGCACTGATGTGGTTTCGTGCAAAGGTCCGACTATTAGATCGTCCTCGTCAGAAAATCTAATATATTAATGTCATAAACGTTGTCGATCAGTAGCCGGTACGGGTCCTAAAAAACAAAAACATTCGCAGGTTCGACGCAACGTGCTACACCTTCGCCAGTGCTTGATTCGAAGATCGCGAAATCCGCTGCAGTCGTTAACCAACCGGAAGCTAGACAAAGGGGGAAAACCGCGGAAAGTCTGCAGGTCCGTAAAGAATAAGCATAGCTGAAAGTACATTTTGAATATCATTAACAAGAAACGCTTGCGTATCGCTTCAGATCCTACTAATTTTGTTCAACCAACGAAAACAACCTTTACCTATTACTTCGGTGAGTGCAAAGGCGATACACATATACACTCCTCGATTCATCAATGGGCCACTACATAGTATTACGCGCTACTTTTCTAGACTTTAAAAGTCACCTTTATAAGAGAAACGCTTCATACTTGACAGGCATTTTCAAACTTGCGCATGTAAATGTTACAGATCGGCACCGATCCGCGATTTGCGGCCTCAGCAGCCGCTGCTCCACCGCAGGCTACCATAATACCTACCATTAATTCTAATGTTGCACTCACGCCATCTTGCGCTCTTCAAGGCTCGGCATCTACGCTCCTCCCTCCCGACGGCACGATTCCACCATCGTTGCCAAAAACGACTGCTACTTTGCTAGTGGGACCTCAAAGGACAACTTTCTCATTGCAACCTCAACGTGCTTCATTCCATGGTGCAGGTAGCAGTACTTCATCATTGACCAACGGATCTGCCGTCGGGAGTTCATTGTCAGGGGCACAGATTTCGCATCGCCATTCGGTTGCGCTAGGAGAACAAGAAAATCGCAGACCACCGGCAGGATCCATTCGAAGAACCGGTTAGCCTTGAAGTCGTTTGAGATTAATTGATAGGCTTTATTTTCAAGTTTTATTATTGAACTTATGTTTGAAATTCACTTCTATTTGTATTTTTAGCAGTGTATGAAAGTAATCATTATTTCGGCACTTTCACTGCAATGATTGGTGCCGTTGTTAAAAAGAATGTTCGATGTAAAAATAATCATATTCTTTCAAATAATGTGTTCTGGATTAATATTAAGATTTAAACTCGGACCACTGCTGGATAGTTTACATTATACACCCCAAGGAATCTATCATGAAAACAAAGCTCGTGGTAAGTAATAGTACCAACCGCTCAAAACGTCTGTATATTGTTAGGTGAATATCGTAGATCTTTGGCAGCGGCTTTTCCTCTTAGCTAACCATTTGATTCTGCCATTTACTTTCCAGGTATTCCAACTCGCTCGAATAACCGGGTACTTAGCGCCATACCGAAATCGACGACAAACTACCTGACTTCGGGGGCAGCCTCGCCGACCCGACTAACAATGAACGCTGAGACCCTTCAGAGAACCCGATCATCGCTCAGGTTTGCTCCTGCTACTGCTTTTTGCGATACAATGTGGATACAATATCTAGGCAATTTACACCTCTAATCGATGATACACCTAATTTACGAAAAACTTGATTAATTACGAGAAAGCGTAAGATTATAGCATCCCAGCCATGTGCTACTCAAAAAACGCTAGGCGTGGTCTGCGTATTCTTACGCAGAGAGACAACTAAGGATTTAAAACCCCATTATAAAGACCAAATCTAATTTGCTATGTATGGGTATGCATGCTATGTAGGAAGGTCAAGGAAACGGTTACCTTTTCTGATCGTAGCTAGATTGTATAGCGAAAGAACTCAACCACAATTGAAAAACAGCTCACATCTTCCTTATACTGTCTCTTGAAGATCGACAGTGGTTCCTGCTCGCGCCGAAGACGTGAAACCATTTATGCGAGCCACTTCAGCTTCAATCGCGCGTGTCGCCCCGTCGAAAAGCTCTACAATTTTAGCACCCTCGATTCCCGCCCCCACCGGACCCTTCGCTCGAGGTCCCGCAGCCCATCAACGGCGAACTATCCCCGGATACAGATGAAACACACAAAGTGCTTCATAGGACCATACAGAACTCTGGCACCTGCAAGACATTATGCTTAATGCATTGAGCAAGCATTGTAGCACTAACGTAATTTAACTTGGTGATAAAGCGGTAATCTGATTTTGGTATAAGCTTAGAAACGGGGAAATTACTTTAGACAGTTTTTCGGGATATTACCTAACGTTGGTTTTTACCTTGCTTATATCGCACGTAAATAATCTACTGCTGTAACAATCTCGTCAGTTTCCGTAGTACTCATGGTCGTTGTCAGTTGCCAGGAATATAATCAATCAGAAATTCTTATGACGTGACATTGATTAAAGGTCATAAATAGATCATATATTTTGCGAATTTTCATTAAATATGCATCTCTCGTTTTCTTAAGGTCTTCTGGCTGTCATCAACATCGATTCTTTTCCTTCTTCAAGTAAGGCCAAATATTTATACCCGTCCTAGTGGTTTGTTATTCAAATCGGGAGGCTCTAGCGAATCGTCAATTAAATCAGGTCAACGTGCACCGTTTCGTTTATAATAACTCTGTATTAAAAGATTGGCTCGTGAACATTGTTACGATTTGACCAGGTGGCCTTCTCAACAAATACACCCAGTGTTTAAATTCAGTCAGACTAAAGACATGCCTCGAGTGCTACTCATAGGGCGATGATGCCATCTTCAGACGCTTTAAGTACGAACGAGAAGTGCACATCTTTAAATACTAAATGAGGGTAGGCGTGTGTTGTTACAAACAGTCAACCTCAACAAATCTCTAAAAACATAGCAATGATTTCATAAAGTACATATGATGCATTTAATGCGAGGCATACACAAGAAGACGAAACCTGATCATCGCGAATCAGGTAAAAATTCAACACATCGGAAAAAATGGTGGCTAGCGATTCAAGCGTTTCCTATCTATTAACGAGAAATTTAAAGATATTTAGCACACCGATTCCAGCTTTATTACTACTTACAATATGAAAAATGGACAGACGCTCGTGAAACGTCGTCGCTTATTCAGCCTCACTTGCGACATTTAGCCACGATTTGATGGGACACGATTTGTTTTTTTCCATCATTGTGCTTCCTACAAGGGGCTCAGAAGTTCACTAATGCTAGTACCACTTTAACTTCATTCATAATGGTTTTACGAAGTAGTACCAATAATATGGCAATTTCTCAATTAGCTAGGTATTACCTTGGGCCTAGACAATACAGGTATGAATTTTGTAGGAACAATAACAATAAATAGACGTAATGTGTGACACCACAGCTTACATGTTTGCTAAAATAAACATCGGCCCAGAATATAGTCTTGTCATTTAGAAACAGTAATGATTATAGAATTAGGCTATATATGCTGCAGTTATTTTCGCTCTTTTTTCGTGCAATGTGTTTTGGCGACATGCGGCGTCGAGCCCTGCTTTAACAGACACACATATAATAGACCATGCAAAGTTGTAATTGATTTTAAGACGACGCTACATGTGAGCTTCTAAACCAACTGGAAGTATCACTTTGCTTTATCTTTCATCTCAACTTTGTCTTTAGATCTTTGCCTGGCAAATTTTCGCACTTGTCTCATTAACATAGCGCTCACGAATACAAGTTGTCATTATTAGCTGAAGAGTAACGCTCACTTAAATACAATTGTCTGAGTGACTTGGCGCGCCATTTTGAAAGAGACCATTCTAGTATTTAGGTGGTTCTAAAAAAAGTCAACTTCTATTCATGTTAACTTCGATAACTGACAATTATATTTTCGTTTGTCTTGTTAGGTTATTATGCGCCACATATAATTAGTCATTTTTCGACTGCATAACTATTTCTGCCATTTCTACCAGTAACCGTATGGGTTGCATTTCATGGGTTTCATCCAGGAACTCCTTTTTGTGGTCGAACTAGACTTCTCAGTGTAGTATCCTAACAGCGGACTGTATTTTCACTAGGGTAAACGTACGTCGCACGTAAAAACGGCCAAAGTTGACATCGCAAGGTTGCTACAACGTTGTAATATCAGTGTGTAGTCTTAGCCCACGGTAAATAGCAACAACAACAACAACAACAGCGAACATCACAGTTTACTTGATTGTATAATTACGTTCTGTATAAATGCTTTCAGCAATAGTTTATCTAGCTATATTTGTTTTAATAATAGCTAACTTATTAATAGTGCCGTGCGACCTTTGGGTTAGGGGGTGACCGTCACCGAGAGAACAGATGAACTGGGTTTACTGCTCATTGTTAACGTATTTATCTACCAAGCTGGGTATATAAAAAATGAAAACAGCAAATAAACAATGAATTAGATTTAACGGTCTTCACAACGATGGATTACGTCCCTTTTATATATTTTATATAAGGTAATTTGATTTTGATTGGTTCAAAGTAGTAGCAATTACTGCACGATCCAACGTGTAGTCGTGCCCTTACACACGGAACGTAAAAACTTACCATCAATAAACTAAGATAATCAATGTACGTTTTTACAGTGTAATTCGTCATATAAAAGGCCCCAATAGAATTAGAATTCAATTTTATTGATACTATATGCGAAAAGCACCCTAGAAAAGTATTAACATCCACCAAAACATTCGAATTTCAGAATTTTCTTTGCTTGCATGCGTTGTCAATTGTGAGAAAGCGAAACAAAGCCCCTAAATAACCAGGTCATTTTTTTTACAGCAGCCATGTATATTGGCCAGCATAAGAACAAAAAACGAAATCGATCAGCTACTGAGTTTTGAGCAGCTGAACCTCATTTAATGCGACACATTTGACTACTATTTATTATATGAATCGTTTCAAAGATACAAAGTGACCAGACTTAAGCCCGCTATACATTTGGCATCGAGCTATGCCAGTGTTAAACTAGTTTTTTTTCTGAAAAAAGCTGTACAAGCTTAGATTTTTTTGTCTGTGGATGGCGAATACCAACAAATTTATAGCTTAAAACCTACTCATCTAAACCTTTTACATCAATTAAATTGAGAGTTCCATAAATGCATCAATGTCGTTCGATTTACCCTCACTTTGTGTTCCTGTTAGCTTATGATGCTTGAATTTCAGTTAACATTACGTTCGTTCAAGATTGTTTTCCTTATGAAACTTCATCATAGGCGATTATTCATAACGTATATACATAGTACTCTCGCAAGTTAGCCATCTAAGCGGCACGAGTTTTCTATGTCACTCTAAAATTCAAAAATGACACCTGCTCTGCCTGATCTGATTTCTGCTCTGTCTCAGAGCCATTCGTGCTCTCCGAGCTTGTACTGACCACCCGCAAGACCGTAACGGATTAATAGTTCGGGGGGGGGGGGGGGGTGATAGCGACAAAGGGAAACAAAATAACGGCATTTTTTCAGAGTTACACTTCTAGTAATCGGACCTTCTACTATTCAGGAACATGAGCAGCGATGATTGGCCAAACTAAGCGGATGCTTGCCCATCCTACCAAAATCGAGGAAAGATATGAAAGAGGTAAGCCATAGCCTTGGCAGTCTCTCTCCTCAACGTTTCTCTGTAGCTTCACCTTGCCCCCTTTTAAGTGAACACCAAATAGCGTATCTTCTCCCGATTGACACTCTCACTGTTCCGGCATTTGTCTCTTCGTTTCGAAGTTATCCGTGTCTGAGCTAGCGACTGACTAAAGAAGGGGTTTTCATCTAGCTCTGTTTGTCCGCTACGGGAGACGAAGGAACGCGACAGTGAGGATATCAGTGTCAAGAAACGAGGCGAAAACGAATGGCCCAGTTGTTTAGAGTCACGTTCAGAACCTCTGCTTCTGTGTGTGCGTGTGGAAACCTGATAGCGAATTAGGCCGTGAATGTTTCGCTCACAAATGCAAATATGCTAATTCAAGTTTAAAAGAGGAAAGCCAACAACGAAACCTTACTAACATATCTCAACGATTGAGTTCTAGTATGAGATATGCATATATAGATATATACCTTTTCATGTCTCAACAAATCTATAACGAGTTCACACGGATGAACTATGAGGTCTCAACAAGTCCATAGTCCAGGAACTCAACGTACATATCGAAATTGGTCATGAGCTATAGTCAAACCGTGCATTGTTTACGAATCTCGCACACCTCTGAGACTTGCAATTACAAATATAGCATTAGAAAAAAACGAAGATAGTTTCCTCAACAGATACGATTTCCCAATACTATCCAGACGTTTCCATTGTTGCAGGTATGTGTAATAGTGTCCAGAGTAACTTTCGTGGAATGTTCCAGAGAATTATCCTGGTCAAAGATCGCGGCTTTCTTTGCTAGGAGAAAATAAGGTTGCTTATTATTCCGGATACTTGCCTTGCTTTTTAGCTATGCAGAGCGGACCTTTCTGCTGATAAACTCGCCAGACTTTATCGTGCTGACCCACCACAACCATGACTGGCGGTTTTTAGTTTTTTTTTTATCTGAAGAAATCCATGTTTTAGAAATAGTTGTTTTTTTCTTTTATTTAAACAATTGTATTTTTCTCCAGTATGAGCAGCCCACCTGACGATGTGTACTAACCCACTCGAAAATACTCAAACACCCTTCCACTTTGAGATTTTTTTAGTAATGTGTTTCTGAAAGGGACGCGCGTTTTTCATCCATTGTCTTAGCCTCGCAATAACAAAATATACTAAAGCAAATTCGAATACAAGCCTGTTTAATAGTAAAGCAAATAATGTTCAACTTCAGAAATCCTTTCAGCTTAGAGCGGTGTAGGCGACGTTTCCAAGGGTACAAAGCATATAAAAATTTTCTGTACTATACCTTATTACTCTTAACAAACAAATTTGATCTTTTGTTGGTGTGAACTTGGGCGCAAGAGATTCAATCACAACGAGACATGGCATTTTTTTTCCGGCCGACGTTGGGCCGATCCGCCAAGGAGCAATTTGAAAAGATACAAAGTTTCTGTGAAACCTATGTAAGGTTCATTACTTTGTTTGTAGGCATTTAGTCGCATGTTTGTAAAAATATTTCATGAAATGAGCTTCCTTGCTATCTGGCTTCTACGAAAACCACATTTCAGTTACGGTAAAATAGATAGCCTCTTAATGACTGTTCTTATAACACTGTAAAAGTCACATATGTATATGTATATGACGTAAATATATGACAGTGTGTGAAAGTTAATAAGACTGCCGGTAGCTAACATACCAAAGACCGGAAATAAACTCGGTGTATAAGGGAGTAAAACCAACGAATAAGCACACAACATCTGCACAATGGTGACCCAGAAGCCCCTTTGCAGCTTCGTCTGCTAAGGCATTGCATCCACTTCTGTCGAAACTTATTGCTAAAGCGAGCAAAAAAACACCATGTAAAAAAATACGCTTATCTTCACGCGAATGTAAAGACCGACGCGCTGCTATAGTTTCTATTTATCTTGTTTTTCAGCATCAGCTAGTTCAATGATGTTTTTTTTTTATATTGAATGTAACGTATTGAACGACCTTGTGTTGTTCATTGTGATCGTCTTCTGTTTGTTATTGTTTTGATGAGCTGCTATGGAAGTAAACATTTCTCTATACATACAGTAATCAAAACTGGAAGGTAACTAAATATCTTTATATATAAGCTTTCGTTTGCCTTTCTTTGTGCTTAGAACGCTGAGCTTCTGTTGTGTCGTTAATAATGACTGTAGAATGCCGGAAACGGGTTTGTAACAAGGAATAAATAAAAACCTTGTTAGAAACATAGGTTTTTCATTCGATGTTTAGTATCACGTTATTTACCTTAAATAAAAGACTTTGGCTTTATTGGACATAAAAATAATATGCGACAATGACACCTGCAAATACCGACACACAAACATTCATTTTTGTATAGATGCGTTGAATTCGCATTTTAGGCCTGTTTTTTTTTTCGTGTTCTACTCAAGCTATACAGGTGAAACATAATATTAGCTTATTTAATTGTTTGACTATCTTTTTTCACGGCGCAACATTGCTTCTTTTCACGTTTTGAAGATCTAAATGGCAAATTGCGTAAGGAAACGGGAAAAAATCATGAGATAACTTCAATTCATAATCAGTGTGATTGGACTTTTCACTACCACGAAACAGACAAATATATATGTGATTTTTCGATCATATTAACTGTTAATAACAATAATAATCAAAGCGACTCAGTCACATGAGAGACAAAGGTCAAAATTCGTTTTAATTTAAGTAGATTGGCAAGTAATATGTTAGGTCCCAACGTATTTTTAACTGCATCCCATATTCCTGTCACATTAAGTTACTATGTTATGTGTACCATGTTACTGATAACAGCTGCCAGGCAATTTATTTACTTTTTCTTACCAGCAGTTGTCGCGTTTGGTGTTGCAAACCCGTTCAGCCAGGTTTTAGGACATTCTTTACTGTCAAATGTGCCGTTTTCCTTTGCCAAAATTTAAACAAGACCTCTTATGAAAGTAGTGGGATGGACGATGTTTGTCGTGTGCGGCCTCACTTTATCATGAAACAGTATGACCTGACCTTGTCTGTCAAGTCTTCTCTCTTAAATAGCTTGGTCATTTCGATGCAGGTGAGTCAAATGAACGCGCCGATTAACTGTCTGGTTTATGGAAACAATGTTCAGTGAATCGAGCCCTTGCAAACCTAGCAACCGTAAAACTTTTTTTAGATGATGATAATCCCGTTAGATTCTTTTTTGGCTTTTCTTTTTTGGCCACCCGTTCCAATCAGTGGTTGACGTTGGCGCTTGAGGTGGCTTACCACAGTCGTGTGACTGCAGCCGATATCTTTGGTAAATTTCCGTATTCTTTGTTGACCGTTTCTCTTAGAAAATGCCATCAGGTGGTTTTTGTCAAACTTAGACGGTCGATCAGAACGGAAATCATGTTCCTGGTTCTAAATGTCATTTTTAAGCTTGCCAAATTAATTTTGGACAGTTGTTTTGGCAATAGCGTCGTTACCGTCCATAAAATATAGTCGTATATAAGGTGTTATTACTACTGAGCTTTTCTAATCGCAAGAATGCGTATGTTTGTGTTAGCAGTTGAGATAAGATGATATGACTTAGACCTACTCATTCATATATTTAAGTTTTTTGGAGTTATCTATGGTATAGCTTATTTAAGCTCCTCGTACTGGTTACGATGATATAGCTCATAAACACTTAAGGCATTTTAAGTTTTAAGGCCATGTGTGAAAAGGTTAAAAGGAATTTTGCTAGCTTAAAGGGAAAATGTTGGTCGGGTAAAATACCTACCCAGTTTTACGTCAGCGCAAAAGCTTTTAAGGAGGCTATGGTAATAGGGATAGCGGGTCCGACTATCGCAGAAACATTTCAGTAGATTGTAAATTTTGTTTAGTTAAGAAAAGGAAACGAGCTTTTCAGGTCTTAAAAAAATAAGATGGTAATAATAATGAAGTTGTACTTAAAAATTTACTAAAGTATAATAGACAATAACTTGCCTTATCTACACAAGTGATATTATATGCTTTACTAGCGGAGCTTCAAAGAGCGATCTTTGGTTTCCGTCATCAAGAGCTTCGACAGTTCAAGCCCCTGCGTCAACTAAGGTATAACTTGAGACAGCTGTTTGTCTAGCAAAAATTCAACCCCACTCTTTGCCACGAGCGATGTTTAAATTATTGCTTGATTTGAGTATAAATAGACGTGACTGTAAAGCACGTTAAACACAAAACCAAAGGACGTCAAATGACTATTGGTGATGATTCGAAACGTTCTTGCTTTTACGCTTTTCTTCTTTGTTTTGATTTTCGTGGCTATAGGAGCGAGAAAGATCCAGTGTTAAGTAGCTAAAAAAATGCGAAAAGATTACCACGAGAGAAAACAAATATGTGCTTATAACGAGCTGCGATCCGAGTATCGAGTACATTATGCCTAAGCATTTACAGCACACTCTTAGCCGGCCGAAAATCCATGCGAGCATGTCCGTCCTCCGACCCGAGAGTAGTCCTTCTACCAAACTGGGTGCTAGATAAGTACAAATGCTTCAGTTAAATTTTAAAACAGAGGACGTCAGAGAATTCTGTTTAAGGGTTGACGATATATAAAGGGCGAATTTCCATGATGTGGTTTATAGCACATCACGGAAATTCGCCCTTCAAGCTTTGGCCGGAGCTGGACCGCCTTGGTGTACACGCGATTGAAGTTCCGGCTGGGCGACTTTGTTGGAATTATTGGAGCTACTCTTTCTGGCCTGCTACAAGGCGCAGAAGATATGTCGGCTGGTTTCTCGACAGCTAAACGCGGGATTATTTTCACAACGATCATCAAGCGGCCGCGGCGGCGTTACAGTGTGGTCGACGAAGTGTATTAGCAAATCGTTACTCTGCTGTGAGAACACGCCGTTGACCGTTAGGCCGACGTCGCTGTACACGACCAGTGAGCTCCTGTTATCACCACTTCATATATAGGGAAATCTACGAAACCGCCTAATCGCTTTGGTTTTCGAAAAAAGCGTGGAAGAACGAGGTGTAAAGAAACCTGTTCGAAGATTCTTACTCGCAGAAAGATAAGTTAAAGTTTGAATTTGACACTGATCGCACACAGGACTAATGGCAAATATATAAGTTGACCACAGAACATTGTCGCATAGAAGCTGGTGCCATTGGACAATGATCTCACATTTGTAAAATTGCATAGAGCTGCATTGTCCAGGTGATCGAAGTTTAGTAAACCGATAAGGCATTAGCAATTAATTTCTTAAACTTTTTGTCGGCATCAGTTATTATTCCAAATGCGCATTGAACCAATAATCCATTTCTTACATAGAGGATGATTTATTTCTTTGACGTAGAATAACTCCTCATCCTGTCGCAACGTAAAGCCGTCAACTACAAGTCTGGCAGGGTACGTACATAACTTTATACTCCAATTATATATAATTATATATATATATATAATATATAATGCGTACAAATAATGAACCTCAATATAATTCGGTCTCTGTTTGAGTATTTCAAATCATGTTGATAATAAATGGTTATTATTTACCTTCTGCACATTGTGAGATATTGCCAACTGTGTGTGACCGTCTTCGTCGATAGAAATGCTCTTAAATTGTTTCAGTTGATCGTGTGGTACGCTGAAGGCAGCCGTTGTCATTGAAAGAACTAGTTTTCTCCGAAGCGCCAAACGGACCCGCCGTAAAGTTCGGGTAAGTAATGAACACCACAAGCAATGAAAAAGTAATGAACACCGAGAAAGCGTGTCAAAGGGCTGCTCCCACTCGATGTTTCATCAGTAACAATTAGTTCTGCTACTAATCGTAAATCTTCACATTATTGCCACAATTGCCATCTAAACGAAAGCCTGTTACGAAAAGCCTGTATTAATATATTTTAAATAATGAAAAGGTTCAAAGGTAAAAACCACCAATAAGAAAGACGACTTCAAACCTATTTATGAAATATTTGCTTTTTCAGTTATCGTATGTCGCTTTCAGTTTTCTTAGTCGTCTACGTGCTTAATACCAGTATCTCTGTCATGTTTTTAAAGCATTTTAGATAATTTGAAACTCTAGAGTTAGTATACTGATAAAGCTATGTAAAGTAGCTGACTTACATAATGCAGACGATCCAACCTTTCCTTTATTCAATTGTTTATGTATTTGTTTAAGCAAAACCTTGCTACTTGTCTCAATAAATCGATACAAAATTAATCCATAGCAAAAATACTAATTCATAATAAATAACAATAACACCTCCACCCACAATCTAATTCTACGTTATTGAGCTAAATGCCCTGAATTATATATAAACTATACAAGTAAAGGCGGCGTAATGGTATGAAGAGAAGTTAAATCACAATCGCCTAATCTACAGAATTAGGCATATTACTATAAAGTCTATTACCATGGCTTATATAGAATACATATGGTTTTTCTTAAACATGCATGCAATACAAACGTGGCAGAAAGAGATCTTTATGATGTAACATTGCAAAAAAAAAGCAATGGAAATAGGATTTTTCAGAGAATTTTCAGGTAACACATACGAGCTTGATCAAATGTTATGAAGTAATACTGGAACGCCTATTTTGCCCCCGGGAAAATCACTTCCATCACCCCTGTTGCCAGATGATCCCGTCAGTGAAGGTCACTATTGCTGTCTTTTCAATGGGGTGCGCTATCCGTACACGGGAGGGACTAAGAACATCTCTTGGAGGACGTCATTTGAATTTTAAGAAAATGATTTACTTTGTTTCAATAGGAGGCATCAGAGATGGAATATGTAAACGTAATAATTGTGAGTCCTTCTATTTAAATAATGAAAGTGTGTTTGATTAATGAACAAATCGATCGACCGCGTAACTTATCTGCATAGTTAGGGCAAACAAGAATATAGCATCTTTTAAACTTTTAACGTGCTAACATTAAATACACAGATATTTTAGACATAAATGTAACATGATGATAAAAGTTGAATAATTTCTCGAAAATTTCCGATAATAGTTCGCGTCGACCCTAATGCACGATAGGGCTAGGCAATTTTTCGTGCAGGTCATGTCGATGTAATTCGTGTGCAAAATTATATGTAAATTTATTTTAGGCTCCCTTTGTGCTTCTTACTAAAATGCTACATAATTTTTACGCGTAAATTAGTGACATTTAGCCAATTTTTTTGCTCATTATTATTGTTACTATCATCATCACCATCGAGTCACTATCTATAGCCATATTTGCTGGTGGATCTCAGCCAAAAAAGGATCCTTATCAGACTACCATCGTGATATCAGTCGGCGATAATACCAATGGAAGCGATTAAATTCGAAGACGCTGAATGTGGATCACGCGAGTGGCGCCCTCTGTTGGCGACCGACTGAACGGTAACCCTTGTAGAATGGTTCTGTTCTTGTGTGAAAGCTACTCGCGTCAACAAATAGGTGGGCAACCGGCAACTCAGATGAATAGTGCTTGTTCGAAGAGCTTTCTGCTGAAAAGAGCTTGAATTGTGCATTCTATAAGCTGTATGAGCTTCCTTTGGGAATATCCTAAACTAATCGTAGAGCTGTTAGCTTCTCAGCACAGCAGGTAACGAACGAAAGTTGTCCGAATTGAACTAAATGCTCCCAGGTGATGCACTGGCAACAGAGAACGACTGGCTTTCTGTAGTCAAAAGCATCTACGTTTGCAGAAAGTTGCACGTGCAACAATAGCTAACATAATTTACTTTTTGCTTATATATATATATATATATATATATATATCTAAAAAGTAATATATACAGGATACTGTAGCACTCGCATGCATGTATATCATTTAATTCAAGACAAATGGTTCATAGCTATAGCTAACAATAAACAACTGTAAAACCAGTTTCCAGATGTCGCTGATATTTTTGCTTGTATGCGTTGCAACTCTAGCTGTCGTTCTCTGGTTAGTAACTCGAGAGGAAACTGTAACGTTAGATGGCTCCGAATACGTTTTGATCACCGGATGCGATTCCGGAATCGGCTATATGTTGGCGAATCACCTACAAAAAGGAAATGGTCGCAATGGCGTATTTCAAGTTATCGCAACCTGTGTTCATCCTTACGGAAAATCCGCTTCCCAGCTGAAATCAGTGGGAATTAAGGTCGTTGGATTGGACTTCACGAAGGACAATATAAAGTCATTCTGTGAGCAGGTAGATGAACTTGTGGGATCTGCAAAGCTTCACGCAGTCGTGAATAACGCAGGAGTCTGTATAATGGGCGAGTTCGACTGGTTTACCGACGATCAGATTGACTACATCTTCACAGTTAACACTGGAGCAATTCGACTAGTGAAGTGTCTGATGGCTAGAATTATGAGCAACCGAACGCGGGTGATAAACCTGACTAGTGTGAATGGAACGCTCGCTTATCCAGGCCTAGCAATATACTGCTCGTCGAAATACGCACTAGAAGGGTTCTCGGATGCGCTTGCCATGGAGCTGGCTAAGTTTGGTGTGCACGTCATTAAATTTCGACTCGGTGACTTTTCTAATATTACATCAATAATGGCCAATCAAAAATTGCACGCTGACCTTATGTGGCATAATTTTAATGAAGAGCAACGCGCACAGTATGACGCTTATTTCCATGCTTATCAGCGAGTGGTCATGGCCCAGGCTGGTGGACTGAGTGTGACTAAGTTCAATGATCTGATGTATTGTTTCGACAAAGCACTGCTATCTGTCCGACCTCGGGCACTGTACATATCTGGAAATGCCATTTATCTAAGCATACTTTGGTTACTGACTTGGATCCCGGAAGTATGGCGAAATGGTTTTGTTGCTTGGACGTTTCAGAAGGCAATGCAGTCCCATGGAGTAATCCCGCCAGTAACGTTCAATTACACAGAACATAATAGTACTACAAATATGAATAACTCGAAAAAACGGCACGTTCACCGTGTAATACCTTAAATACATTTAAGCCTGGAAGAAGTAACACTGACCAGCACGAACAACGAAGCTGTGTTTGATAGTGAGCTAGGATGTAAACGAGAGAGAATTACGAAAAATCTCCATATTAATTAACGGATTAAGGTGTGTTTTTCTATTAGTTACTCGATTGAAATAGTTATGTTGTCGTAAAGCAAGTAGCCGAATTTATTCCGCGATATTGTCAACAACTGGCCGGATTGAACGAATAACACGTTACGACTTTTCCTCTGTCCCAATTTATTCATTAGAAACGAAAGCTACCACTTCCAAGCTGTACGGTACCAGTAATACTCAGCCATTTATCGTTTCCCATGCATTATAGAACAATTGTTAAAGAGTTTATTGCCCGCAGCTCCGAAAGCCATGGAAATTATTAGCCTATTCTCTTCTGAAGAAACGGTTTTTTTTTACTGGAAAATTAGTGTAGCAAAATTATTAATGGACTGTCCCTCTAAATAGTGGACAAAATGTACTGATGGGGTGGATGTGGGTTGGGAACAACTCAGAGAAACATTTACGGCTTTTCCTCTTTACATCAACGTGTCATACTTGGTGTAGGTAATGAAAATGGAGGGAAGCCATCGTAGCGACTAGCTACGAACCTAATACAATGGTTCAGGCATAAAAGGGCTTTTCCGGCTCGAAATCAATTTGCGTGGCTGTGTATTGAATTCAATATGCAGCGCAACAGAAAAATTCGTCCTGAGCGTAGTAGTTGTTATGAGTTGAGCCAAAAAATACGCTATAGCTAAATCATTTTTATGGCGTCCAATAGACTTGGTAGATGATACACAAGTAAACGGTGGCAATGGTGTTAGTGATGATAACAGGGTCCTGCAGGCTCATCCACGTAGCGGCTGTGCGCAGTGGGAGGTGTCCGCGTAAAAGATGTTGCAAGGATAAGTAACTGAATGGAGGCCGAAAGATGCTAAGAACGTCTCTGCACTTTTTGCTTTGCCCCTTAACGCCTTTAATGATAGAAATTATACCACAGTAATATTGCAACTTACTGCAAGAATAGCTCTGGCTTTTTAGAACTATTAGAACGAAACATTTATGTATTAGTTCTATTTAAGCCAAACAACAATTTGAAAGCTAGGTGTCTGCATATCTGACGTATCATACTGAATTTACTTGCAAGGTTTCATAACTCCTCTAGCGGTTTTTGACGAATGTTACGATCTGTAGATATGCCATTTTGTCACACATTGTTTACATGCATGAATACATGCAATCTTCATCCTACAAAGTGGTCAAGCGTTAAATTACATGTCTAAAAAGGACTTACAGTTTTACGCGGAAGTGTAATATAAATACGTGCATTAATAGACGTCTGTATTAAAACAAAAAGCATGGACATCATCTGTGACGTGTGTGATCATGTATTTATGACGTGAATGACATCTTTGTTAATAATTGTCGCATAGTTATTTTTAGATGGGCTGCAAACGGTACTGAGCCTCCTCATATTATTGGTCTTTTGACACACTTTGCTCATGTGTGTAACTGTTATGCCCTACTCATTACCTGAAACTCTTCATCGTACTATGCAGCAACGATACATGAGTACACGCGTAACATTGACACATGAGGATAACACGTTCTGACATGTTCGTCATATTGGGTTCTTTCGTGCCCCCAGATATCATTTTCTTTTTGTCTGTTTTCCGCTCGGTCGCACCTGAAGAACGTTAATCGTATTTTATGTCCGCTACTTAGACCACCAGACATTACTTCAGATGGCTGGCCTTCAGCATGAGCGCCCTTGTTAGAGCTTATATCACCATATAGTCCTAGGTTAAGCACGCAAGCACGTTGCTCACTGCGCTATAATGGGAACCTGTACGAGTCATCTTTCACAGTAAACAGCTCCTCTTGCTGGAAAATTATCTCCGTTAACTTCTCACCTGTAAGTAACTATTATGTATATTGTAATGGCTCTAGACTTTGTCGTTGGGGGACGTAGGTCAAAACCTAAAGCAGTGGCTCAGGATTGAATGTGTTCAGGGAAGTGGGAAATTTGGCGCTATTTCTATTAGTGTCACAAGCGGGCCATTATAGTCGTCTACTATCATTAGAAACGGATCGCTATTCAACACAACGGTGTATTCCTATAACGTTGGAGAAAATCTGGCTATGACCATTCGGCAATAGCTTCTTCCTATCTTTGGTAGACCAAAGCTTGTTCTGGATACAGAAGCTGCGAAAAGAATAATCGAAGAGACTGGGTATGTTAGTAACGTTAAAGCATCGATATGGGCCCGACCGGGTCACTCAACAAAAAATATTACGACGGTTTACCAGACTATGACTTCAGATAAAAGGACATCCACGCGATATCGTGATGTATAATTTAAAATTTCAATAAGCACTACGCTACTATGCAGTATACTCTCACACAGGATTTCTATTTTTATATCCACCCGACTCAACAACTGAAACGCACAGGAAAAAATGTGAAATGAATAAAAACAACAATCGAGCGCGAAAAATTACTTGGCCTTTTATAGATTTACGTCGTACACGCGTTTCATCAAATATGCATCACTTTAACCTTTTCCTTAATACAAATACCGTTTATCTACATCGGAATATTTCGCCAGTGTTTAATACCTGTGCCTGATCTGAATACTCGTTCTTATTCCTTACTCGTAATTACACTCGTGAACGAAATTATACTATGCTATTACGTAGTATCTTTATTGCTTTTACTTATTTACAAATATGTTCCCTTTAAGAACTGTAGTATATGCTGTTCCTTATTCAAATACTAGTGTACTTAAGCAATTATATACATTTTATATATCTTTTATGCTCAATCCAACTCTGCTGAGTTTTTCGTTATGAACTCATTTTTGCTTTGCAAATTCGGTGCCGAAAGGTTTGCCTTGGCGAATCTATGGCACACGCTACGTATATATGTTTCAGCTTTGGTCTATTCAAGTGAAACTTCCGAGCCGTGGCATACAGAGCAGCGCTCCTTAATCGGTGTACTAGAAATCAAGCCTCATAAACAGGTCTGTCGTTACGGGAAGACCTAGTTGTTGCCATCAGCGGGAACCTCAACCCATAAAAACTGCTTGTTTTATATTGAATGCAAAATAGTCGCATCTCTAAGGCGACTGCTGAGGCGACTAAGGTCTGCGGACCACTTAAGGTAGAGGCCTGTAGCCACTTTGCCAATAGTTAGCCCACCTAGAACTACCTACCCAATGACTGGTTTCAAGCAACATATGAGATAAAAATATCCTGCGTCAGTTGGAAATTTATACAGATTAGCAGCGCCATGTAGTAGAAAGCACTACACCCTCCGTGTCTGCTTGATAAAACTAAAGGTAATTCATGCACATTGTCTTATTGGTGTACATGATATTATACTGATAAACTAATCGCAGTTTTAAAAATCAATACTTTCATTATGTATTTCTTCTTTAAAAAATTACCCTCATAACTACTATAGCACTAGATTGTGCATGAATATACACCAATTCTCGATGGGACGGATTATGCGCCAAGGGCAAAAAACGATTAGGTACCGCTCGCTAGAAGCTGACTTTGTGTTTACGCTAATGGCCTTTTGCATATTGCACACATATATATGTATATGTATATATATATATATATATATATATATATATATATATATATATATATAAGCTAAATTAGGTTAGCAGACAGAGAGAACGGGTATATTATAAACACTGCCACAGTATGTGACATTCAGCATCATTCGAAGCGACCCCGTATCGAACGCACCCTGCACCCAAAAGATGACGAAAAAAATGTTTGACTCTCATCGTGAATGCCTTCAATAGTAAGTTATCAATGGGTTGCAGCTCTTGTTTGAAGCCCATATTGCTTATTGCAATGGTTCATTCATCAGTTCCAGCTAAGCATCTATATTCCAAACGACATGGCGTTTGTCGCAAAAATATTACCTTTAACCTTTAGGTGCGAGATGTTAATTGTGAAACCAACTGTGTGGGTCGGCACAAAAGTAAGCATTGACTTCCTCTATTTAATGCAGTTGCACGGATATTTGGGAGCTTACTTCATATCAAGCGAAGGGAAAGAAATATGGACAAGACTGATGATATACGTAGACCTAACTTGAGAACTATGAGAAACATTGGCATGCATGACTTTGTAAATCTAGCCCGATAAACAGTTCGGCTCTTTCTTTATAGATTTTTATTAACCTCAGCGAATACCACTGTCTCGTGGGAGCGTGTCGACTTGACGTAGCGCACAAGCGGGCCTATGGTCGCAATGGTGGAAAACGTTTAACTTCTGCCTGCCTCTTCGTCCAAGTTCGTTATCGACTAGTGCAGCCAAGAAGACTGCAGTTAAAACTAGGCTGAAAAAAAGCCATATCATAAAAGGTTCAACAGAACTATTGCTTGAGTGGAGATTTCATTGGGTTCTCAACTATCCATGGGCTTCACGTATCCAATTGAGGGTTTGGAAAAGTTGTTTATTAGCAATAGACCTATATCTATTGTGTAGCACATCCCATTTACACCTAGAATCAGTTAATAAGAATAGCTAAAATTGTATTACTGAACCAAACAGACTTGCACAGCCAGTATGGTACACTGAATAACAAGAATAAAAGACTTTCCCATATTTGTTACATTGGAACTGTGGATTCACGTGTCTAAAAAAGAAATCAGTATTGTTTCTTGCGAACACCAATACCATAATGAATACTAAACGCATAATAATGAAGAGAGACACGGGTTTTTACATTATCGAGCTGAACATCAAGCGGGCGTGAGTAGAAAATATTGCATGGCCAATTGTACGGTGAGGAATGTTTTCACTGCGCGTAGAACTCTGTCTTTTGTCAAAATCAATTACCTCCCCATGCCCGAATCGTTAATGCATTTCCCGCACTTATATAAAGCGTATTGTGAAACGCGAACCGTTACCCGATAAATTATCTGTTCTTCCGATGCTTTTTCCGTCAAGACTTCACACAAGTTTCAGTTTTCAATAGATGTTTAATGTTATGATAAGTTGACCCTATCTGTCATTCTTCGATGAGAGGTCAGTGGAAGACTAATAAATCATGGGACGCTACCGACTTCATAAGAGAAACCCAGAAGTTCAGACTTTTGAACTTTCTCTATCTTCGCTTCAACTGCAAAGAGGCCAATATCTGAAACGGCTCCACAATAAGATGCCCTCTGTGAATATATTTTTTGGTCGATTTCGTATCTTCTCACGTTTGCCGGCCCCTTTCCAATATCTTGTGCCGTATGATAGCGAGAAAAAAGCACTGGACTTTTATTGACCGCCAGTTTCTGTGATACGTTCAATTTAAGAACTAAACCTGACGTCGAGTCTTTCAAGTAACGTTGACTTATGGCTGATAAATAATATTGATAGGAGCTGAAAAGAGGTTATGGCTCAGCAGGAGAGTCGACTGTGGAAAATACAGACGACACTGAGCGTTTCCGCAAAAGACGAATCATTGCCAACAGGCGCAACCATTTCAAATTATAGGAACGATGAATTAGTTATCTAAGAAATAACTGCACGATTGAACCTCTGATAAATTAACCAAATATAGGACACGTAAAGAGTAGCCGGCCGATTTTGTCGCTCTCCCCCTGTTTTCGTAAACGAGCAAGGTTTAGCCGACAGTCGAGCGATAAACACAGCAGCGTTTGCGAAGATGGAAAGCTCCAATTCGGAACAGCGTTTGGTTTTCGTAAAAAGTTATTATCGAAACAGCGTTTGAATCATTACGGTGACACTCCGCAAGTGCCGTACGGCATATGCGTTGACGTTGAAGGTACCGCTGAAGCAATTAATCAAGAGATTCGAAGAAAGTGACTCACCCGAAAATAGAGTGAAATCAGGGGATCGCGAAGCGCCCGAGTCACAACATCGCTGCAGTATAAAGCACTACGTATGCCGATCCAACGGTTTTAATACAATACCGCGCGCAACTTGGGCCATCAACAAGCACTCTGAGATTCATTTTGAAGCAAGAGCTGTATCTTCATTTCTGGGTACGGTCGACTCAACTAGCAACTATCCAGGATAATTATGAATGTCATTTGCCCGCTGACGCATAATGTGCGCAATAGCGACTTCTCACTTTTCTCTGATGAAGCTCATTTCGAATTGGATGGTTAGGGCAATGCACACAATGGTCCCATTTGGAACTTAGAGAAGTTTTTAGTAACCACCTCACTCACAAAACGTTATTGTGTGTACGGCTACGGGTGCAAGAGTGTCATTAGAATCTTTTTCTTCAAAAATAACGATGGAGCGGCAATAATCGTCGATGTGTAGCTCTATCATAAAATGGTCTAAGACTTCTTGCGGTCTGAAGTAAGGATATCGGATGCCAGTAAACTTTTGTTTCAATTATTTATTTCTTCTTATCTATTTCTTATCTAAAACAGTGTTCGTCGGTCGGCTGATTTCGAAGAGCGGCGGCTGAATTAAGTGGCCACACAATTTCATGATTTAATTCGTCTAGATTTCTTCCTGTGAGCCTATGTAAAAGGTACAGTATATAAAATAATGCCGAAAGTGATCCACAACTTGAAACACAGTATGTGCAAAGTGATTGGTAGAATTATGCAGGGCAATAATTCAAAATTACTCGGAAAGAACGGAATTATACAAGTGGTTTCTGACATGAACTTCGGCTGGCGTCTTAAATCTCCTGGTATTTGTCGTTGTTATTTCAATAACACTTTACGCACCTTAAATATACGCTTCGTCTTATTCCAAAGAGGTACCTCGAAAATTTACCAATAGTTTTAATTGGCTAAAAAAAATTTCACAAGGTCACGATAGTAGTGTTCTGTTGTTCACATCTATTAATTTAGGATGGATTTATGTAAAAAAAAAAATACATTATCTAAGAATGCCATTGATATTAGTATCTATGCGGTACATAAAAAAGCCAAATAAAGCAATCATTGAGCATAAATAAACATTCAAGCTTGGACCATGTTCATATATAGATGATAAAGTAAATTTTCCTAGATGGTGGTCATATAAGGACACCTGAGACATTTTTCATAATTTGAACACTTCATATTATCGTTAATTATTAATATTGATAAGGCATTTGATCAAGTTTGCGAATTGGATGTTCCGTTCTTATGTGTTCTTCCGCATAGCCCTGCAGCCGTGTCCCGCGCATGCATGTCCGTCCAAGAAGACAATATAGACGACGGTTTTCCTATATGGTATACTTTTTTTTTGTTTTATATAATACTAGACTAGATGTTTAGAAAATCATCATTCCTTCTCATTATCAACCTCTATATTATGGCTAAGAACGGTCAGACGGAAAAAGCCTATGAAACATTAGAGGTCTTTGCATCATTGAACATATGAGGCAATCATACAATAACATCACGCTTGCACTTTGTTGCGTGCCAGGCCATCACCACTTTTCACTGCCTCAAATTCTACTGAGACCTCTAAACCTTTTCTCTCTGTACTTGCCATTTTAGTAAATAGGCATCAGCTGTCTGTCGACGTGAGCCGCTTCTGATACCGAAAATACTACGCGACCGGAACACACGAACGACAATGACGGGACAGGGCATAGCTATCACACACATAGTGCACTGAGGGCCACAATAACATTAAGGGGCATATGATTTCAGATGTATATCTTGCGCCGTAATGTGTGGCGCCCTTCGATACAATATTGTTGCATCGTCCAGGCACTGACGTGGGTCTTGTAGATACATGACGGGCACACGTTAGTCTATCGGGCTCATTTGTTGGCTATAGTAAGAGTCGGCTAACGTTTGCCCATGGGCGTCTGCTAGATGAGCTGTCAGCCTGGTTTAGAAGGAGTCGGCAGGGTTACTGGGCTGTGTGTGCATGTTTATGGGATAAGCACCTAACATCCGACAATAAACTGAGCAAAGAACTATGAATTACCTCATCACTTGAAACATAGTGTTTTTTTTGCCACAAGAAATAATGCTCAAGTTTTGAGGTCATGGCGGTCATACTTAAACGTAATTTCAAGTAAGAAAGACTGAATCTAATATTTCTGTGTAATATAAAATATAAAAACGGGAAATGAGTATAGACTAATGAGTTGAAAAAACATTATTACGAATGTACTTTCAGCAACACATACAAAAAGTAGTTTCTTATCCAACGTAAAACCATTGCAGTTCCTTTTTGTCACCATTTAAGCAAATCAGCTTCGGTAGCTGGAGTGTCTCACAAAAGCGCGCCGCCTTTTGCAAATATTGTTACAGGTTTGATAGATATGGTAACGTCTTCCGAATATATATCAATATATGTGTATGCAAAGCTATATATATATGATTGGGCTCAAAGATAGATGTTGCTATAATGAATGTATTTGCGATTTCGGCCGGCTGGGGGATACACAGTACCGCTGAGCAGGCCAACTAGTCGCCAATGGTCGACTCTTGTCATAGTTGAAAATTGGCTAGCCGCTTGGTGGGGTCGCGGAAGGGGAGAGAATAGATGATCTGGGTCGCCGCCTTTTGAGGAGTCTACAACAGGCTGCAGAAGAGTTCTCGACGTTGACAGAAGCTGGCAGGGCACTATATATGATGCTGCAGTGATTGGCATTGTATAGCATAATGAAATTTAAACACGATGAACGCATTATTGATTCGCCTAGATTTGACGAGAAAGAAGTGGTTCGACATCTTGGGTGTCTCCTTAGAAATACTTAATATAGCGAGCGTGATTCGCTTGTCATGATTTGAGCAGGTAGCATCTGTTTATGAAAGCTGTAAGGTATAGCTTCAATGATTGCCGACAACAACAAGCACAGACGTTACAAACACTGACGTTACGCAATGTGCGTAACAACCCGTGTCGTAAACAAACATTTCGCACTTCTGATAGATTATAGTCGCATATGATAATGGGTGCTAGAATTCTGCGTCTATATACCTATATTGATGACCGAACATAGGACCTTGACTGCGAGTTCCCTTGAAACAACAGAGAAATAGACTTAAGTAAATAAGAAGGCCACACTTCTATAGCAAAAGACTTACTGAAAGAGTATCCATTGCAGATAAACAAGGGCTTATCAATTCATTGTATCCAATTATCAACCTGGAGTGTGACACGGGTCAGTGATGTTATTGGCCATAGGCCGGGTCTAAAGTTTACCTAGTGTCAAGGACACATACCTGATTTTCCTTAAATGTAACAGTTACATGTGCCGATTTGACCGAGGTAGGCCTTGAAAGGCCCTATTGAAAAAAATGAAAAACAGTTTACTGGAAGCAGCAGGACTATTATTCGTACGACTGAATGCCGTCACAGAAAAATTGCCGGAGTTTTATAGCTATTATAACAACATATAGTATTTAATGTCGTTTTTAAGAATATATTTAATAGCGATGATGGATCGAAGTTCAATTCTGCTTGAGGCGAACGATAGAAACGAGAAGATATATCTGTAGACAGCCTGCGTGAGACCATCGAATTCTCTGTCTAGAGTGCCTCGTCTCTATCTACTGACGAGAGCATCTCGCCGTATTTGCCGGCTATTACTGCTAGCGGCGAGATTCGATTGCATTATAAGCTATGCCCAACAGATGGCACTGTCGGCATCTTGCTTCAGGGGAGGGCAGCTCTCTCTAGTGCCGTTCTTCACACTAGAGGCGCTGCTCTCGCTGTTAGGATAATGCCTTCGTCTCTATAAGATGAAATTCTTCGTCTTGTAATAGAAACTGATAGGAAGCTAACGTTTCGTCCACTTTGGCAATCTGCATGATGCGCCAGCTGCATAGGGCTGGCGCTCCTAAAAACAGCGTCTGTTGCAACCCCTGGCGGTCGCAAACTGCACATCCTCACTTCAGAGGTGATGTGTACATTCGTTCACACGCCATCGAAAAGTCCAAGCTTGTTGCTCGACCCACCCATTTTACACATTGAATTCGAAGCACAGTGACGCAGACAAGCATAAAGCGGCTTATTGTTATATAGCGCCCCCTGCTTTTAACACGCCAGATTCGTCGGCGTCGCCAAGTAGGCACTATATCATACAGAAAATAGCGCTCCTGTAGAAATCTGCTGTCAATTCAGCGGCTAACGAGTGTACAGACGGTAGTCAAATTAGCAAGACGAAAGTTACATAATTGAGATAACATACTAGAAAAAAACTTTAAGGAACTTCTTTACTGTAAGAAGTGAACTTTCGCGCGGCTAGAGCAACTTTACAGCAGGAATATGTTCGCATTGATGAAGACTAGTGTACCCGTATGTTGTGTCGCGGCAGTGATCGCTACGTTCTGCCACATCACCATAACGATAGCGGAACTAGCAGACTCAGCTAACAACAACACGTCGAGCGTATCGAGTATCACTGCTCCTCAGACGTCAAATGAAGCGCTTTCCACTACAACTGGCGTCCCAAAACCACGTTGTCCAGGTACCTGTCACGGAAGTGTGATGAGTCTATTCTGTGAGCACGTCGACACTATGTTCGGCTGTCCTGAAGGTTAGTACAAATAAACAGAGTTAAAGAGACTATTACGTACGGCGCAGATGCCTTAAGCTGACGCTGAATACGGCACAACAAACATCACCTATCTACCTTAACGCGTTCATATGGAGAGCGCAGAAGCAAGTTATAATGGAAAAGTACGTACTTGCATTTCTTGCGACAACATGGGGCTTTTGGTAACAACCAGAAATCAATTCATCTAATAGGCAATCAGAAACAGGTACCACAACAATACTTAGCGAAAGTACGCTAATGCAATACCTTGTTTCGCCTCTCACCAACAAAGACCTTAACATCCTGCTTTTCCCTAGGCCCTGCTGACTACGTAAAAAATAGTACTAGCCCACTACATTGTATTACTTAATGTAATGGCCAGTTCGTTTAATTTGAAAAAGGTGGCCTGCCAGAAGTCAAATTTCATTTGCTCACCTTAGTTGGCGGTAGTAATAAAATTTACCAAAGCTTGATAACTCCATGTCAACAGTGCAACATCGCGACGTCATAGAGGGTATATTTGCGTCAGACGGGTTAGGCAAATTTTGTTGAGTTTATAAAACTTGATCTGAAAGATTCGCTACGAGATTTAAAAACAGTATTAGGTAACAACGAGCGGCACTAGATTTATAACAACTTCCCCGTGTTTGGACATCTGTCGTGAAACCTATGCGCGATGATATATCTGGTTAGCTACTTCGTTTCTTTCCATTCGTTTTTCCCTCTTGCATCCAAAGCAAAAACAATCCCTATCAGTTTCTAAGGTTTGTTTTGAGGGCTTTCGTTGCTTGACGTTTGAAGCGACGACGTAGATTCTCGGACACCACTGACAAGTTGGCTAGAATGTACGCGAGGCTTCATCGCTTCTTTAGAGGAAGCAGTTTTGACCTGATTTAAGTATTCAACATTTTTTACTACAAGATATTCCTGTATGATGCACATCCCATACAGCACAATCAGGACTATTTTCAGGTCGAACAGGCCGAGAGTGACTGTTCGCGATGAAGCGATACGATTATTCACGTAGCAGCACTGTTTCACTGCATCTTTCGATGGCGTACAAAGAACAGCAGTTCCAAATTTGCTTTTCATGGATAGGAGACGATCTGGCAAAGCACAAACAGCCAGTACCCGCTGTCCTGCTTCCCCTGCCAATTTCTTTGCGAGTTGATGAGTTGGATACTTGGATGAGTTGGACAGAACAAAGCTTGAAAAATATTTAAATCTGACAGAGCGATTCCGAAAGCAGCAAAATGCACGATGGTGCACGCCACGTCGTCCATGATCGCTGTTTTATAAATAATATATCTATAATTAAAGGATTGACTAGAACGCCTTTGGCAACATTAGACATCAAATCGTGAACACTCTATCATATTTCAAGAAACAAAAATCTCTAGAAAACTTAATGTGGATTTGTCAATGATTCAAAGCTTGTTCTACATGGTAACAATAAAATTTATGTATTCGGCGCGCATTTGTTCATGGCGTATGTATGATAAAATATTTGCTAGTTTCCATTTAGTAGTATTGCATAGTCTCAGGGTGTTTTCGCGCAGCCATTTGCATCTAGAATCTACCACCATTAATTCAGAAATTTTTAAGCAACAAAACGTGATTTTTCGAGCGCTTAAACTTCTGACGCGCGGTTACTTCGGCAGCCGTCTTCCTAATAATAGTCGTTTCAAAAAAAAAGTTGTACTTGCCTGCCTTTGTTTAAGGCGGCTCCAATCGAAGCTATTTTCGATAATTCAATGCAAAAGAGATCGGCACATATGCTTATCACGGGTATGTCTGAACTAGCCGAAGCAGAGTCCCGGTTAGGAAGGAAGATGGAATTATAGATTTAGTATCTCTTACGCAATTCATAATTGTGAACTACGAGGCTTTGCGCCTGTCAGAAGGCCAATACACTCTGAGAACAACACTAAGCATTAAAAAAATTGAAAATATCTTCTATGTGTTGGCTTAAATAACTGGCATTTTTGCATTGATGCTAGTAGAGTTAGCATTTTCGAAACGTTTCGTTACTTGTGTTATGTAAAATAAACTGGACGCGCAGATGATTTCAAGAACCATTTTCAGACAACACTCAAGGAATCAGATAATACATTTGAAGTTTTTTTTTTTTCTAATTTCTGCTGTGTAGCGGCTTGCTTTCAATACCTCTGAGTGACTCAGATACGATGCACGTGACCGTTGTGTTTTTTGAAGGCAAACGGGACGTAAGGAATAAACTGAGGGCTTTTGGTGTCTCTATAATCCTCGACTTCACAGTTAACGCAGGTTGCGGAGGTGCCCACTCGGCTTCGCAGCCGTCCAATGTTCTGATATTATTGCCGCGTAGGCATCGTTTCCTTCTGGCTAGAGACATTAGTTCTTACTTCAGCAGATCTCTGAGTATCTGAAAATTTGAATGATTTTTCTTCGAAGTGCATGTCCTGCATGGCGTTAGCGTCTGTGGCATTCGTTCATTTACTATGTCATAATAGAATAGCACAGAAAATCACATTGAACCGAGAAATACGTACATATTGTTTCAATTCGAATGTTACTTTTCTTAGAATTTAATATCTAGCTTAGCATACGTATTTATTTTTTTGTTTGTTTACTCGTTGGCGATTGGACATTAGGAATGCTAGACAACGGTCACGACATCAACATTGGTTAACATCGTCATTTTTTTTATGTAATTTACGTATGATCGAAGCGTAAATGACCAGACGTATTTCCACTTCAGTTGTGCTCATTGCTTTAGCTAACTAATTTACGTATGAGTCATAATGTGATTGCCTTATTTGGCCTGGGTCAAGCAAGAGTTTTTTGACGCATGCGAATATATAGAAGTCGTTCAGTACGAAATATGACAGAGTGAACTTAACTTTTTTAAAGCATTTTGCTGTTTTACTTACAATCGCAATATGCACTGTATCATTCGAGTGATAACTTATTTATTCGGTTGCTATAAAAGTTTGGGTGCGGTAAGTCCTGAAGGGCATTTTTGCGTCATTCTGAAATTTAAACAATTTGCCTATTAAGAAGCTATCGATGTTTTGAAAAAAGTGGTAATCTGCGACAGCAGTGCCTGGAAAATCTGGTAGGTTACAGAAAACCTCCAATTGTATTTTCATCACCGTCATTTTTCTGGTCTGATATCGAACGTTGTCGGAGAACAGGGGCCATTCCTTTTTGCCCACTGGCTTTGGTAGCTTAATGCACAGCTCGTTCATCATCCCTAATTGTTGCCGATACATTCGGCCGTAATCGACTAATCGGGAGTCATGAAGCTGTAAAAGATAACACCGGCCCAAACAGACACCGTAAGTTGTTGACCGTTGCTTTATTGCGATATTGCACTGATCCATTGACGTAGCCGCCTGTGGCTACCACATACGGCCTATTTTTTGTCTCAATTCGATGAACGAATGGTTACTCTTATAAGATGAAGAGGAACAAAACGGCTAAGCAGTTCTCCTCACGCCTTCGTTTCGCATACATCGACTCTGGATGTTACCACCCGTACACGTTATATGAATTAAGTTCCGTCACATTTATTGACGTTTTGACTTTCGCCTTCATAGGAAGCCTGTCACAGTACTTATTTTCGAGTTCAAAAAGGTCCCTTTTTAGGATTTCTGACATCAACAGCTCACGCTGCTTCCAGTAGTTCATCACTACGATTCATCAAATACGAAGTATCCATACAACAAGCTGTCCTCGCTGCTGTGGTTCCAAAGTGGAACTGAAAGGAACAAGTGGGTTTTGAGAGCCAGAAAAAGTCGAAAAATATCTGATCTCTACAACGTAGCGCCACCATGAAATACTAAAGAAACGTTTTTTTGCTGCACGAATATATTTACATATTTCAATATATATATATATATATATATATATATATATATATATTATTAAACTCAACTCGTTCATCTGTTTTCAATACTAGGTGAATTCTGCTGCATTCGGAGGCCCACTACGCCGACTCCGCCTACCACCGAAGCTGAGATACCTGAATGCAAGGGTTTTTGTATACCATATTTTCTATCCGGCCTCTGCTATAGACCTGCTCGACTTATTCTACGAACAATCAATTGTGAACAGGAAACGCTCTGCTGTGATAATACGCCTGCTTCGCTCTTACCAATACTTCCTGATGACTCAGAAAATGAGATGCGCCGATCACGTTTTTGGTGATCTGAGCTATATCTGTATACGTGCTTAGCATTGCAGCACGGAAATCTAATATTCAAAAATAGCTTTGATCATAATACGGAGGTCTTAATAAATAACGTAATCTTTAGAAACTGGCGCGTAGGGCACACTTGTACACTACACAGTGTATACACAGTGTGTTATGACATCGTTAAGAAATACCACGTATTTCTTTATGATAAAACAGTAACAAAAAGCGTCCGAATAGCTTTAGTAGCTCTGCAAAAAAACGAGAAGATGATCTAGAAGTAAGCGAGTCCCCGTTGTCGTCTGCTGTTTAGCGTTTGTCTAATCTGACCTTGCAGATCGTCGTCAAATGACACAGGAATACACTGACTAATACGACAAACGCGTCGTACAAAGAGGAAACACGCATCTTCTTAAGCGCCCGTCTAAGCTCTCGCTTCACTAACACCATAATGAGTGTGATTAAATTTTTAAAAATACATAAAAGTATGCAAATGATGATGATAGTAGTAGCGACGCTTCGTTCAGACTGCAGAATAACAACGCGCCATTTTTCAAACAAGAATTTTGACTAGCAAATTAATTATGTACTTCATATACGATGCAGTGCTCTACTAGTTCTAATCTATATTATGTATAAGGTTAGAGCCTCATCTATAATGTATCCCTATTTCGAAATGGCGAAATAAACATTTTTCACTATAAATATATGCACTATTATATATCGGTCAGCATGTTTATTTAAGCATCAGTCTAGCAAAGATCGTTATAATAAGATACATGTTTTCATGTATATTTAATATAATATATATAATTTAGTTCGAACATTTATGAAATATTAATGCCAATGGGTTTCCTACATAAAGCAAGTCGTTGTGTGTAGCCCTAGTCATATTTAATTAGTAATAATAGCAATTATTCTGACGCGACGGTGCTCGAAAATGTACCCCACACTTCAATTCAAACGGAAGCTACTATACGGTAGTGTGAAAATATCTTGCATGGACAGAGTACATAAAGGAATGGGATTGTCTGGTCACATTTGTTGTACATACCTTCATCTAAAGCAGCGCTGTCAAACCTAGAGGTCTGGGTCGGTATGTTTAACATGCTGGGTTAGTGTCTTTGAGTGGGGTTACTGAATAATCACCAGAATCTATAGACGGCAATCGAGTAGCGTCCTAATGACTCGCAACGGCTATCAGAGAGCTTAGCGGCACTCTGTGTTGGTAAGTGTCACTGAGTATTTTTTTTTGCCTTTATTATGCTCTCAAACGCTTGACGACGTTACGGGCCCATTCTAACGTCGCAATATTCTACATAACATCAGCGTCAATGTATAACTATAAACCATAATACCTTAACAAGTCTGAGTATATGGCTTAAGAAACGCCTACATGTGCCAGTTCAAAAACGAATGACTTGCTTGTTTAAGACTGATATCCTAATTCAAATTCTGCGCTTCGAAGTAATACCCGCAAGATGCAGCACACTTCAACACCTTTTTTAGCTCTCAAAACACTTCGGTAGTTAGAACTGTCCTAGTAGACCTTCTGACGCCTAATCGGCAGGCCAAAATGGCGTGACATTGTGATCTCCACTCGCTTTTTTCGAGTGATTCGCCGAGTGGCAGCGATAAGTTGTTTCATCCTGCCCATGTGTTGGCTATCACAGGCTTTCTAGGATGAAGATCATCTTCGATGGATACCTGTCCGTCGCTATTTGAGCCTTACGTAGTGTGTGATCTTCATGCGCCGAGTGTATGTGCGGTCAAAATTTGTCTTAACATAAAACCTAGGGAAGAACAGACAAAACTCTTAATACATACGACTAATACGTGTAGAGATTACAAGCCATGGCATATGTTCCATGATTGCACCAGCTAGAAGTCATCGTTGTCGTAAATTTCAGCCAGAGACAAAGGAGGGGTCGTTGCTTTGAGAGCGACGCTTGTCCTCAATGTGTCTTGATAACGAATAAGCTGAACGGAATGGACTGACCGACCGACCGACCGCCCGATTAACGAAAGAGCCTGAGCGCGACTAGTCCACTGTGTAAATGAAGAGGTTAAGTGTAGAGTATCCATGTAGCTTCCCGTACAACAATGGATGTATAGGTAGTAAAGTATTGTTGATTCACTAATAGTGCAATGAACACATGGGGTTAAATAATTGATGTTAAAATAGTGGTTATTTATTCTCATAATTTATAGACATCTGTGAAGAGCTTTCAAATAAGTCTCTGGGATTTTTTAGTTTGTCCATGCGTTTATTAAGGAAAAGGAGGTGCTTCTATTTAATCAATCGCTGGCAGTCGACCAGTTAGTTAATCGATTGGTAAAGCAGAATTACGGAGCAATTGTGAAGTACTCCCGTGCTGTAACAGTAATATATTGGAAAATTAGATAAACATTCACGACAATCGTAAAGTAAGTCTGTGGTGCTTAAGTAAGTAATCACTTGAATGATTTATTGTTTTGAGATCGAATGGCCTCACAGTCTTCTAGATTGAGTTCACCAATCGTGATGCTATACCATAACGAGACGGTGTCACGAGGAATCATACTCGAGATATCAAATCTTCGAAGGTCATCTCTGTTCTATAGTGGCAACGAGTGGGCATAAAAAAAAACCACTGCGTTACATCGTGCCATGCCATTAGAAGGGGTGATTCGAAAGTTCAAAGCACTATTTTATAATCCCCACCGTATTTTCTGCATTTAGCAACGTGAAAAGACGTTCGTTATTCTTCGAATTTTGAATGATATTCGCAGGATTGCAATGGTAAAGATAGGTTATAAAATAAAAATAATAACACTTATTTATGAGTCTAAGGTACTCAAGCTTGTGGATGCGCTATAGTACTCCTTCGGTCCTAGAAGCGCATCGCTTTTAGTTAAGCTAAATAAATTTCCATTGCCCCCCAGCCAGCTATAACTCATCGCATAGCTTCATCGTATAATTCATGATACGACAAAACTGAATTTACGTACAATTATAATAATGTTTGCCGTCCCATTGTAGTGGTTTTCTTGACGGCCGTTGTTATTGATAGAAACCTGTGTGCCTGAAACAATTGAAATTAGAAGGAAGATAAGCTTTTATCCTTCGAATAACTCCTCGCAGATAAGTTGAGCACTCAACAGTTCCGCAATGTGCGTCACTTGTACGTAATCAAATAGCACGTAACGACTACGTAAATGGTCGAAGTGAAGAATCTGCACATTCACAAAACGTTTTTATGGAAACCTCTAACGTAAGATGGTAAGATAAACTGAGTCGATAATGAGACGAGAGTAACACAAAGTCCGAAAGAACATACGTTCGGACGTCGTGTGGCCATGACGCGTCTGCGCGCGTATTTCACAGTGCGCGCTCGCATGGATTGTAATAGTATTTTACACTTTGTTTTAATAAAAAGGTTTAATGGCTGAATATATATTGTGAAAAAAGTGCCTGGAAAAACTAACCCCGTATGCCATAGGCAAGATAGATATTCTCATTTTCTTTAGGAGTAGATCTACATAATTCATATATAATTTTTAGCGGTAGTATAATCGTTCATTGCGCTTCCAAGGTTTACAATGCATGTTTTGCTGACTCTAGGACCTTTTTTTGGTATTGTCAATAGGAGAAGTAATTTTCCGAGAAGTGACGTGCCTTTTTAAGCCGCAGTTTCCCCATGATGTCTACAGGACGAAACGACGCCGGACGAACACACTGTCGTTACTGCAGAATTGAACCGTGGTATCGTCATGGAACGAAACAGTGAAAGAAAAAGAGAGAACTCGAACAATTCGTCGTTTCTATAACTGGAGGATATTAAATCGCCTACCAGTCATGCGCCAGTCAACGCGTCGGCCCGTAGAAGGTGGTTCTATGCAGGACACCTAGCTGTCTCTCTCCGTCCCCAATGGAGCCTTTGACAAAGTCGAATTTTGAACCGAACGAACTTCGAATAATTCGGGCTGAGTGTCGAACGGTTGGCTATAAACTAACTACACGAACGCGTCATGGAAACAGTCATCATTGTTTGTCCATGAATTGAGTCGCGCTTTGTGACGTCTACCGATTCCATTCAACGTGACAGGAAAGCGGTCGTGACGGAAAAGTATCAACCAAATTCCTGAGCTGCTGCTACCCAGCAAACTGTCATTGAATATTCCTGGCAAATTGAACTATGGACAGCAAGCAAAAGAGGGACTACAACGCTATATAGTTCCCCTTAATTAAGGTCTGCCTTGATAGTCTAGGTCAGCGTGAAAATTCATAGCAAGAATAGAAGGCCCAGGACAGCCTGCGCGGTTCTGCCTGCCGGAATGCTCAACCATGAATGGCGCTGTAAGTCCATTAAGAATAGAAGTTATGATATTTAAGTATTAGCTCAGCTGCTACATAATAGTCGTGCAAAGCAGCTGTGCACAGGGGTATGATACCACAACGCCTAGATGCAAACGCCGTTCTTCGTGTATTGACTGCTTTACTTCAGTTATACGTAAGAAAATGTTTGTTCTCACCCAGAAATATATTTCTTCTTTACCCCCTGGCGACAGTATATTTATAAGCGATTGAATGCTTCATCAAAAACGATGATGTGATGAAAAAAGTCGCTGCTCGACAAAGCTGATCCAATATGGGATCGGCGATCGGAATGAACGATCCTTGTAATAGTATGAGATTTCTAACTATCGAACCAACGGTATCCCGTAGGGGTGAAGACAGCTTTCTTGCTTGGAAAATGTATAGCTTCTCGATCGGCCGACAACGTCGTGTTGAGCATATTCGACTGTGCACATACTGTTCCGTACTGTAGCAGTTTCGTGACTTGCCTCTCTAGCCGCGCTGAATATCTCGATCAATCGTTTTAATTTTACCTTCGTTAACGAAAAATGTCGTCCGCATTATGGACGACACTTGTCGACACGAGTGGCATCGTAACCGATGAGTTCATATTTTAATAGCAATTGAATCTACAAAAGACAAAGGTTCCCTTTTCCTACTGTTCGAATGTACAGCTTCCTGTTATTGAAGCAAATACGAGAAGCCTGTGTACCTTTCGCATATATTAGTCGCTGTTACGCGTATCGGTCTCTCAGTTGTTACCCGTTATTGTTAGACGATATTAATTCTCACTGGTCAAAACGAAAAGTAACTACGTACTTATGTTCGACGGTAGCATAGGGCAACAGAAATTCGCCTGAAGAAGCATATTCATAAGGAAATAGTATATCCCTTGGACCACAAAAAGCGTGTGTAGATGCGGTAGCTGTCTGTCTCCAACTCTCGCTCCCTAGCGAATGAAAAGTTCGCTAGAATGCTAGAAACACGCACTGAAAGGGACGCTCGTGGCGGCCATTGATTGCTCACATTGAAATTACACACTAATTGAGATCGTCTCACAGATTCGATCTCAATGAATTGCCATAACGATCATTATTAACAATCTCGAATACATTCTTCCGTTGTTGTACTGTAGGAGGGTGCGTGTAATTCAAAGCGGAGCATGAAAGATAGTCACTTGTCACAGCAAATGGTCACCTTTTACTGGAGATGGCCTCGAATTTGTAAATAATTTGCCTTAAGTGAATGTGCAAAACCGGTCTTGAAAAAATCTGCTAATACTGGTAAGAAAAAAAGTTTTGCCAAAATTATTCGTCGACTACCTTTGTTTACCTCGAGAACTGTGGGCTTAGCTATAAAAGGGAAGAAGTGATGGAGGATTTATTTCTTAGAGAAAAGTTCTAAAGTTCGGAAGTTCATGCGTAATTAGGTCAACTAGCGTAGAGGCCTCTAAAGGCCTTTCTTGCTGGACTTTCTCTGGGGATTATTCTAGCGGTTCGTATGATTTTTTTTTAACAAACAGTATTCGGGCCTATTACTCTATTGTTGGAGCAGAAAAGCGGCTTTGTTGCGAGAAGACAAGTTTAGCTAACTTCTTTTGTAGCTTGCTAACTCAGTAGTTATAATCTATATATATTCCTTTCTAGTTGCATCTTTCTGGCAGAGACGACGATTTAGCTTGCTACGATGCTATGACTTACGCTTGTTTAGCCATTTGAGTACGTAAAAGTAGTTCGCCGGTGTGGAAGTTGATATTGACGAGCGTTGTCCTTGTGACTGAGGTAAATCACGAACTTGACCTGGCGAGAATCACTCTATATAAATTCATTCGTGTCTGAGCTTCGCACCTCGCACCCGGGAATAGTTTACCTATTGCTATGAATGTTTATATTCTGTAAATCCGCTCCCTACGGGTTTAGTACTTCGTAGCTGTAGTATACACAAACGACGTCATTTGCTTTGTAGCACGGATGGCCTTAGCATGCGAGTATTGTACCTGAACTGCTTAAACCTCTCCAAAGGTTGCATAGGGCGATTCGTTTCCCCTCTAGCGGGTACTGCTTTATGTTCCTTGAATGAATAATAAACACTTATGCTGCCAGGATGGGCCTTTTTTTATATCAGGTAGGCTAAGTAATATGAAGGCAAAGACCTACTCCAACGCGTCCGCAAACTCTATGTCGGAATTTTTTTCTTGCCAGAATGCGTTGGCCTATCTTGCTCAACTGGCAACTGCTAAATAAATAAAAAAATTCCTGCTGGTAGTAAATAAAGTGCATGCACGAACAGTTATACCGTAGATGACGATTCTATCGACGATATCATGGCCATTATTTGACAGCGGAAATGGGCGGAATGGGGTAGGCTCATGTGGGCGAAACAATCATCATATTTTATGTTGATCCTAAACTTTTGTTATCCTATAGAGATTCATTTCGAGTGGGGGGCTCGAAATTTATTCACCGTCACCGTTCGAATTTATTACTTTTTTCCAGAACTAGCATTATCAGTACAAAATTATTTATGCAATAAGCAACTTTGCAGTTTTCCTATTATATTGATGATCTGCGCCGACGCATCGATCGGGCAGAATTTTACAAGTGGCTTTACATCGTAACATAGTTTAGTGTGCATCTATACATTTTTATTGTTATTTTGATGACTATTCTTGTTTTTGATCTAAAATAGAAGTAACTTCACGCGAACACTGAGAAGTTGTTGTTTTGTTGAAGAAAGTATTTCAAGTAGCTACTTATTGAACTATTCTCCCGCTCTTGCATCATAACGTATTTTAAGATTTTACTGTAGCTATTACTATTTGTGGCCGAGTATTTTTGTTTTGTTTTTCATGAAAAAGATGATGATATAGAAAAATTCCAATTCTGAGACAGGTTTCGCCAATGCTATGTACTTTTCTTAATTGAACCAGCCGTTTATTACGATGAGCGCGTTTTTCTTTAATGGTTGTCTGATTTATCGCTAATATTGGCTTCCTGAAGCTGCGGCAAGTGTTGCGTATTATGACCCATGTTGAACGATGTCTTTTCAGCGTGTTTTGCGCAGGCTAATGTCTGGCCATCTAGAGGGTTGGACTGCTACTGGCAAAGACAAATTTTAATTAGCGTTGCCTGTACATCCGAAGCAATCGTTGTGGTTCACAATGTACGTTGATGGGGCATTTTTATGTATATCGATATTGCCGCCTGGCGGGCAACGTCATTATACGAAATATTTACGTAGCAGTAAAACGCTATCGCGGGAAACGTGTCAAACACGTTTAACAGTGACACTATTATTAAGCATTGTTACTATATAATTATAATTAGTATCGGTTTCGCTAGCAATGACAAGCTCTAGTTATTCTCAGTTCCCATCACGACGTTGTTTGTACGTCCATAGTTCAATGTATAGCTAATAACAATTTCAATCGGTATTGACTATGAAATTAAATTAAATATTTTAGTTTTTCCATCCGACTGTATCTTTTCATCGCCAGTTGTTACCCTCCACGTAAATAGAGTAGAAGGTGCTGCATCCGGTACATTGAACAACGCATGTATTCGATTGATACAATTCAATTGGTGTTTTTCTTTTCACTGAAAACCTTTGCACAGAACGAAAGCTGCTCATAAGTAGTAGGCCTAGCAGGATCCAAATAGGACCTCCCAATCCAAATAGGATTTCCCGCAGTCGATCGACAATAAGCTGCGGCCACATTCCGCTTAAATACTAGACAAATAATGATGACGACATAATAAAAATGACGGTATTAACATAACGGACAGTGGTTCTAATAAGTCACAGTTTTGAGTCATTCGCCTCCTTAAGCGCTATACCCAACAACACAGTGGTCAGACCTCGTCACAGTTAGATACAGCGGTGGATTTATGGTAATAATAGCTGTTTAGAACAATAGAAATGACTATTTAAGTCAGTTGAACCCTTTAGATGAGCATTGAAAGATTTCACTGTATGAGTCAATGTATAGCTCCAAGAAAAAAGCGAGACCCAGGCGCGAAACAAGATCCGAACGTATGGAAAAATCAGTAGGTGACACTTTGGTCTCGTAAGTGAAACAATAGCTAGGTGATGGGTGTTCAACCTTTCCCTTTTAAGAACGCATATTATAGGCTAGCAATTGAACGCTAGATGTTTTCGGTAGTCGGGTTAACTCACAAGACTTGCTCTGATGAATATGGGCATAACAAACGACTACGAACTTACTGTACGGCCTACTGAAGGACGAGAGGACACGAAGCGGTCGGCAGTCTTCTGGTGTAATCTACTGGTCGTGTGGTGGATTGAAGTGTCAAATAATTGACACTGCAGCATCGTATTTCAGGTAATATTAAACATGTTATTGCAGTACAGGTTTCTGTCGAGTCAGATCCGTGCACGCCAGAGTGCCTGCACGTTGACAAACATAAAACATAAGGAAGTAAACAAATAAAAAGAAAAGACTGCATTTTTCTTTGCTAAAATGATCGCACAATCCCTACGACCTCAAACATGTTTAGCCTAAAGAGGTTCATTCATTTTCTATTATGGCTCAAATAGGAAATATTTATGTCACGTTGTCACGGTGCAAGTGCTGTTTGAATATTGCGAACGAACGCGTCTAACAATCACCTTGTTTTCACCTGTGGCCAAACCTTCGCAATCGAGTGAGATCTTCAAATTAATAATATTCATATTTGAACATCGTTAGCGCCATCAACAAAAAGCCACAAAAACTGTGTACATTGGCATACTCTTACTGGATATATACTCATGTATATAAAAGATCTAGCATATCCTATTTAGATAAAAAAAAGTGCATTGCTTCGGCGCTTTAAATTAAATATCGCTCAACAACTTCAATCTGAAGCCATATAGGTCCTACAAAAAAATTTAACGGTATCACTGACTTATGGCTTTTTTTTCTAAATACATCATATGTTTATTAGAGCGCATCCAAACAGAAGGCGATAAACGTCCGTTTGGTGATTGTTTGTGTTGGGAGTTGTGTGTGGAAGTTGCCTTTGCCCATATTCCTCCTCATAGCTTCAACGTGTTCTTCGGCGAATGCGCCCATAGCCGCAGCATGCTATAACAGATAGATGCCTGCTGGCGCATTTGTACTGAAATGATGACGGCCGACGAAAATTTGGGCGGGAAGTGCTTAGCGGACGCCGGATTGTCTACCCTCTCCGACGAAACGACGAAACCAATCGCACCGATTACGTCGACACAAACACACACACGTACGCATCCATGTCCTGTGTGTGATGAAGAGGGAGCAGTAGAAGAAGACGAAAGAACGACGAGGCAGGAAATGATCCACGAGGCATCCCGCACTTCCATATCCAGCCTGCAGCGGTTTCCATCACCGCCGCCGCCGCCGCCGCCGCCGCCGCCGCCGCCGCCACCGCCGCCGCTGCGGTCTAATGGTTGACTGGCCGCTGGCCGCAGTCGTAGCACCTGACATCTTTTTTTTGCTGGACGCAGTGCTATGCAACGGCGCGAATACGCTAGCTATTACCAAAGCAAAGCAAAGCAAATTGGAACGTATAGCACTTCAATAGCGCGTTAAGACAGTGTTTACAATTGGGGAAGCTGGACAGTCAACGGCCAGTTGTCCTAAAATAGCAAATACAGAGAAAAAAAAAAACGAAACACAATCTCCGTATAGGTGCCTAAGTGTCTCTTATTGGCCTTCCGTTGGCCACACGACGCTGCTGTGTATAGAGCTGTGTTTAAGAAAGTCCTTATGGACTAAAGATCGCGCACATTGGCCAACTGTAGGTCACTCCTGGAGATATGTCTGGGAGTCGTGCATATTGTGTTGTTGCCGTTATTTTGGCTCTCGTGGCGACACGCATTTATGCCGGCCCAAAAAAAGGCAATGTTTTACAAAAGGCCAGTCCAGCGGTGCCGGAATACCAAGAATTCTATCGTACTCTAGCAAACGTTACCCTTGACAGGTACATGGATCTCATCTCGATGCCGCAAGTTCCCAGTCGATATATAAACAATGAAGAAGACAATCCAAATGTAAGTCCATACCCGTTTGAAGTTAGCATTTTTAAAGTTACAAAGAACCTAGGTCAGCATAACGTGTTACTTGCCAGTTACTGAAAATCAGCGCAACCCTGGTCTCCCAGAAATTAGATAAACATTGTGGTTCCTGCCTCAGCCGGGTACTGTGACCAAACCTTTCTATAAGCTATTTACAATAAGGACAAATAAGATAGACGTCCAATTGCATATTAAACAAATGTTACCATGAAAGGCTTTGCTATAACAGGTGACAGTCACCCTAATCATGTGCTGAGTTGTAAGCGTTGGCATTTTTGCCACACGTGCTTTTACAAATCTGCGCACGTTGATCCGAAGCAGGCTGGTCTATTGGGTGAACTGAAGATTCAACTGATCATTAACAACGTGGTGGTACTGAGGCATATGGTATGCTTTTACTGTGTCTTACAGATTTGCAATCGCCTAAGCAAATTGATAATCATGATGTTTCACGCGGAGTACTAGAAAGCATACAGCCGTGGTAAAAATGCTACATTTTTTCATCAAAAAATAATTATCACCGCCTGTCATAGCTGATTAAGATCGACGGCGTCTGTAGCCGGCTAGCCGGTCACATGCGCGACAGTTTACTGTTTTAGTCAGGTTCCTGTCGCAGGATGGCAAGGTTGCCTGTAAGAATATCAATGTAACTTCGTACTGTCCCTCCTGACAAGGTTTTTTCTGCTGTCGGAGGCTATGACGAGCACAGCCTATTCATAGAGCGCTTTTCGGATGCAGAAGTCTCCTGCTATTCCCACAAACAAAATGCACGGCAATAGCTGTAATATTGCCTATTACAGGAAGAATCCTCTGACCGAAAACACAGATCTGAATGCTGCAAAGGAAATTTTTTATGAATCCTAGATAAATAATATTAATAGTGCTATTTATTGTGTCTAGCAGTTGTTCTGGATAATTCCGGTCGTTTTGCCTATCAAAGCGTTTCCTTCATTTCAAATGATAGACGCTTGTGTGTGCGTGCTAAAGCTGTTCTGCATTCTTTCAGAAGTGGGTCTTTGACGAAGAGGACGACGACTACATTCGTAGTTATCACGTGACCAGCTGCCCCTATGAACGGAACGCCATTGTGAGTAATCAATTCGTAGTGCCTTATTCGCCGGTTAGTGAACGGGAAAATCTACACTCACGAATTTCACAATAAAACTATTTAACATGATCGTGTAAAGCTTATTACAGTACGTTTTTGACACTGATCAAATGTCCCAAACGTTTTTAACACACAACGTAAGCCCAGTGAATTTTCTTAGTTTGCCCGTCGCACCTCATTCCGCGTTCAGCATCATTTCTTAAAGGTACGAATCATAATATATGATACCTTGCTTGTACTTGGCCGGTTCATCAATACCCTTTTTATAGGCTGAGAAGCTTGATCTGTCATCGGATTCGAATTACTGATGCTCGAGTAATTAATGAAAACATACCCCTAGTTGACTCAAAGTAAAAATACTATTTGAAGTTTCAAAAAACTCTTTTTTTTTTGTATTACTGCCCCAGGATATCTAGCACCGCCAACGACATATACTATACGACGCGACGAAGCATATAATTAAAGCTTTAAACTATATGGAACTGGAAATTGTAGTGACCGTATTATATTGATCGCTTAACTATCTGATGGAAGGGTGCAAACTATTTGCGTAGGTGGCAAATATATCGCAGTTGATATCTTGCATCGGACCCTGTTGATTTTTTGCCGAAATACGGCAAAAAATTAACAAGGTCCCCGCGCAAGTATGAGCCGAGAGACATTTATGTGGTTTCACAAGCTGGTAATAGAGTAGATATCAATACGTGATCACTCCATACTCTTGTCGCATAATAAAAACGTGCGGATAAAACCGGAAAGTATTTAGATATAATTCACGGCGCAGCTATTTGATGTCACTGACGATATATATATATATATATATATATACATTTTTTTTTCTGAATCATTTTGATACCTCTGATAATCGATCAAAATATTTAGAGAAATTCGCAGCAAACGCTGGGTAAGACTGGTTGCGAAAAAATCGATCATAGGCCAAAGTAAAACTTTCTGTACAAAACGTTTTTATCTATTGTTATGTTTCTTGAATAGTAGTATTTCTACCTAATTCTATGACACGTCATATAAAGATTTCCCTGGTTTCAACCCAAATGTACTTCGCCGATCACGTCATGACTATGTTACTTTAAAGAAAAAATAGAACAAGTATAATTTTTTTTATAAGTCTGTCTGATATAAAGGTTGCTTTCAGCTGGAGAATGGTTATCCACAAAAAGGCACTCCTATTTCACTCATGCTTCACAGATGTTTGACAAATTGATTGATAACTAACGGCAATGCAACGGATTCTATTATGAAAGCAGGTGAAGTACTCAAACCTACGAGTTCAGCCTGATCCCCTCATTTTCCCCGGAAGAATACGTATCACTTCGGACATTAACGTTCTCGAGGATATTACAGAGCCTATAACGGTAAGCACGTAACTTAGGCAACCGGATGTGGCCATAGAAATTTATATTGTTTTCATTTCTGTAAGAAACAGGCTCCAATCAGTTTACGAGCCCTGTGTGCTTCAGGTGCTCCGTTTTTAAACGAAAATTTTAGGTTTTCCATTATACGTATGCAATTAATGCTTCGATCTAATAAAGAAGCTCCAATGCCTATGCAGGTTTTTCTTATTTTTTATAGCCCAATAAAGTATGAAAACATTTGATGTTTTAGACGTAGTTCACGATCCGGATTTAAGATCGGACGTAGACATAGTGCGTTTTGTGCTAAAAGCCAGCCGTATAAAGCAATTCTTAATGGCAGTACCGATCGTAAAATTCGAAAGTTGATTTATCGCTGTTGATTAGTTTGAACGCTTTTAGAAGGCTAACTGTATAATAATCGGTTCGCTAAAATATAGATCTATTCCATATTGTATCTGATTAGTGCTAAACGGTACCGGGTTTTGACACTAGCTTTGACCTTCTTTAGAAAGGAAGCCAAAATCTTGACCCACCTAACGGATCTCTTTATTTCAAGCCGAAAGTGTTTATTTATTCTTTTCCATATCAGTATTTGTTTGAGTTTTTCGCCACGTCCGATCACAGCTGCTCCGGAATATATTGATCACAAAGCCTTCTGTATTCTCTGCAGCCCTGTCCACGTTCAGTTATATGAGTAGTAATTGAAATTTAAATATTTTCCCAGTGTATTTATTTTCAATTCTCCTTTTTTAATTAACAAAAACTATTTATTGTTTAACCCCCTGGCAGTATCAATACAGCACAGATTTTTCGAGGCTATGGAGCATTCCCAAAGTTTCTAAGCTTTTCAATATTACAAACATTTCAGCTTTATTTAAAAAATCTTCAAGATTTTAACTAAGTAAAGCATCAGTATTGCTTAAGCTGTAAGTAATGGCCAAAAAATTATGTAAAAAAAAAGCATCTTTTTAAAGATAGAACCGTACATAGACACAGCTGGCAAATTCATTGGGGTTGGGTCTTGTTATTGCATAGAAAGAGCAATTTTTTCAGTGGCTATTTGGAGTAATAGCAGCCATGGTCATATGAGCCAAAAATGCGAAAACAAATTGACTAACTAAAAAATGCATAGTTTAGTGTTGTATAAAAGTTTCAAATATTGTATCCAAAAATACGACATAAGAAATTAATGTGCGGAGACCTTGAAAATGGTAGCAACTATGTTTGATCCGCTTATATGCTCCCTCAAATGAGGCTGTCAGACCTCTATGTATATACTCACGGCGCTCGTCTGATTAAGATGGAGATTGAAGTACAACTACACACTTTTATGGTACAACTGCAAAAACTTAACTTGCCAGCAAATGTAGCATTGAAACTCAAGCAAACAATTAAAAAATACTCAAACTATACTTACCTAAATTTTATTGAAGTTAGGGCACAAGTAACGTTCTGTGGTTATCGAGTTCAGCCACAGCGGCTCACTGTTAATAACGCGTAATATAACACAGTTACTCCTGAACCACCCGTAAACGACCCTGGAGACCCATTCGTTTGGGCATGGTTAGCAGCCCAAGAGTGAGAGAGAGATAGAGAGAGAGAGAGAGAGAGAGACTTGATGCGACGACCTCCACACATTGAATTCATTCAACTGGACCATAACTATCACACAGACCCGCTGACGGCCTTGATCCAAGTAACTTTAAGGTAATATATATTAAAATGTAAGCTATAGCGTCACTACATGGAAAACTCTATTCAAGCTGCTACGTGACTTTCAGATGACAAACAGAACTCGATCTGGCAACAAGCTTTGCTTCAGACGAGATTCGTGAAGTCATTTTGCCCTGAATAGGTCTCTGCGAACATCGATGAACACATAGAAAAGAGCATATAAGTCGTACACTATGGATCCAAGGTGAACATCGTGAGCTTGTATAACTTAGAGTTTGCCAAATGTACATCTACAAACAAAGCAATCGTATATGCTTAAATGATCCCATCTGCGCAGATTTTATAGGTTGTTTGAACCAAATGGCATCTTGAAAAATTCTCTCTTTCCTATTGTTTTATTTCACGACGTTTTACTTCTTAAAAGAAAAAATCCGAAAGTCGAGCTGATTAAGTTGACGTTCTCACATTCAGACTAAATCTGTCTTTAACCATCTTTCGAGCAAGTCTCTTTAACCCGATTCACTTTTGTACACGCCATTCTCCTTTTATTCCTCTCTTTCGATAGGTCCACGTCCGCATGCGACGTCGTATGGTCTATTTTTGGATGGACCTCCCCTGCGTCGCTCAATACGGCTCATGTGTGTACGAGAACATCTGCGACTCAACCATCAAGTGTCCTGTATTCTACGAGCTACTCGGCCTGCCTTGCGGGTGCCCGATTAAAAAGGTTACATCGACTATCTAATGACCTAACATCTTTAACGTTCCCCCTGTTGCCCCTAATCTATTTAGATTTCGTAATGATATTACATTAGAACATACGTTCTTGCTATGTCATTCTGGGCAATCTCGGCAATTTTCGGCTTAGATGAGATAGGCCATGTTTTAAGCCGTCCCATCAGATAAGCAACACTCTTTAACACCTTTATGTTATACAAATTTCAGTGACTTCATTACTAGATACTAGTTGGTCAGCTTAAAAAAGGCACGTTTTGATGACCAGTAGGCCCACAATACAGCCTATCAGGATTTAGAGCCTTAGATTCACATATTCTCAAACGGCTTCTAAGTAGTTGTTCTCTGTTGTCCGCTTACAGGGTATCTATCGAACAGATAATAAGGCGTACGATGTTCCCGACGTCCTTCCGTCATGGCTAACTTCCGGCGATTATCAAGTCATCTTGAAAGCCTCGACCAACGGCCGACCACTTTTTTGCGTTAGGTTCAAATTGTCTGTGGAGGGCCCGGATGACCGCGATCGCCTCCTGAACTTCCTTTCTAAGAAACTTCGTTAAATCTCGACCAAAAGCTCCGTTAGTTACCTGAAAAGTGGTGTTCAGTGGTGGATTAAGTAACTGCTGAGGGGAGAAGTCCCATAATTTGAAAGCCGAAATGACAATCAGCATTTGCAGTAGGGTTTAAAACGGCATATTTCTGTTACTATTTTCATTAGGTTGCAATCGTGTTCATTAAATATAATGTTTTATACACCTGGAATTTTTAGAACTCAGAATTATGCTGCCAGATACGCGTGCGACAAGTATTTTTTTTATTAAATGGATTGAAGCTAACTTTAGGGTTAGCACGAAGTTTCTATTGCTCTAAAGGAAGGATATATCTAACGGAATAGTATCCGCGCTGCTCTCATGTAATAAATTAGATACCCGAATAAATTGTAGAATATAGAAATATTTATTTTAATTTTTAAATAAACAACTACCATACGAGATACGTATCTCTATATTTGGCATGTCGTTGATCTTTTTAGTACAGAATGTGATCTAATATAAAGCCTGACATAACTTAGTATCGGAATACCATTGTGCGTGTCATAACAGATATCTGTTAAGCTTTACATCTGGAAATTATGTTGCTCCAAGAGCAGCTAGTTGATAAAGCAATGCATATATTGTGTATTTGGCATAGTTACAAACAAGGTCCTAAGGTTAGTTAGAAACTTTCAAAACGATTATATAAAACCTCACACTTTAGTATACTTATTTATGTTATATAATATATATATATATATATATATAGTATTTGCAGTGGAACATTTCTGTACCGGCTATTACTAAAATTTAAGAATGAAACTTACTCTATCCCAACTAGGATTTCGGAAACGGTGAATTTTGCCTTATTATATGTTCAAGCCTAAATTAACCACGAATTACAAGCTTACCGAACACAGTTCGCCCTCTATGGGTACGGCGGACAGGTATTAAATAACGTTGGCTATGACAGACCACCAGTTCACAGTCGATAATGTAGACGAAACGAATCCTTGAAGATTCTATCTTCGAATGTTTCATTTCAATTTTTGGTAATGCGTTTAAATATTGTAAACATAGATATTTACAATGACCTTTATAGGGCATTTGTTCAGCTAACACTGTGGCAACGTACAGAGAAACTGGGTGGGGCACTTTGCGAATGAAGCTCCAAAAGATGAACACGATTTGGGAAAGGCTTAAGGGTCGTTCTAGTATAAGACGATGAAAAAAACTTGGGAACTTTCTAGGGGTCTGCCAAGAAGTGGGTCGCTCTATAGTAGTTCTGGACCAAACGTGCGTCTAAAGACTCAATTCCTTTCTATTTTGTTTTACGTACGACCGAAAGTCACCAGGACAGGGCCTACCTTATGTGGGCCGAATGAGGAGGGGCTTAGCCCCAACGGTTGGTTCCGCTGAGCCACTGCCCACAAACTCTTAATTCCAATTAATTTTCAATTTCAAAATTGAGCCGGGTCGTCACTGCCTAAAGCCTCAGTAAATTCATTAGCAGCTGTCGAAGTTTAAACAAAAAGTAGACTGATTTTAACGAAGTATTTTTCCAGAAAAAATCAAAGCTGAATTGCCATAGAAGACGAAAACCAACTTTGACTGTGACTTACTGGAAAAAAAGTTGCTATTAGCATCAAGTAGAAAAAAACAGGTAATATAATTTTAAGTTAATATGATTCCGAATATCCATAGATCAGATACAGTCTAGTTAGGACTTTAGTTCTATGGATCACAAAAAACATAGCATTGACTTATCAGTTTGATGTTTTGTCACCTTGGAAATCACCTTGTGACTTCCAACCTGAGCTAGGAATGATGCGTTCGAGGATTTAAGTGAAGAGTTCGAAGAAAGTAATACATTTATTATCTGCAACTGTTTTGAATGGAAATGTAGTCGTCCTTCACATTTCTAGGCGTACGTTCTGTTGTATCACTTACGTACCATCAACAAAAACCATCACTGAAATATCCTTTTATAGTCCTTTGCTAATGTTGTACACGCGGTGTGTAACGCCCGGTGAAAATACAACGTTTCGTTTTATTCCGCTCCGAACTGTATTTAAAGTATTTGGATTTTTCCCTGAAAGATGGCCGACTTGTACGCGATCGCTAAGTGCAATATATCCGCCGCTTTTACGAAGTCCACGAAAACGCCTTTAGGTAAGTTTCTCGGAGTAAGCAAATGCAATTTACTATCGCAGCCTGTGTATTTGTCGAATCCATTTTCAATCTATGGTATTATTTAGCTATAATCAAGTATGCGTTTGCCCACAATAGCAAAATCGTGGTATCGGATCTGAGTCTGTTGGGAAAAATAATAACAATACTGATCTTATAATACTAGGACCTATTTAGTAGAAATCGAAAAAACCCAATACGTATGCATCACAGCAGATACGACAATTATTTTGATCAAACTACTTTATCATGACATGCTTGCCTGTATAAACCGTGGAGACTGTCGTCGTTAGCAAGTTTTTTTTCGGTCACTTGATAAATTATAGCGCACCGAAAGTGCATCATACCCTGATTTCTACGTTTAAAGCAAGCTGCCTTCGACTTCTGTGTGGTCATCACAAAAGCTCCACCGCCCCGGCTTCACGAAGCGTTCAGTGGCAAAAATTCTCCGACCGTTGACTGACCTGTGGCATTCATCCTACCCTAAAAACACGTTATACATTTGCATTAGTCGATACAAATATACCAACAGTTCTGCTTTGAGTCTGGGATAGCGCTGGGAACCAGTCATCTGTCTAATGGAACGCCTGACGGCGATACCGGACGTAAGACTCGAAACGGAGGGATCGTGCCGCTTGATGTGATTCTTGGACGCGTAACCGTGTGATCGATCACTTTTTTGCTATGGACAAATTGGGATGAAGTACAGGGCTACCTCGTGATGAGTGAATGTTCTTTTGTCACGTCTTAATGCAAATAGTAGTAGTGAAAACTCAAGACCCTTTGCGTATCTCACTTGCGAACGTGTCTAGCGGCATATGGAAAAATAATTCGCAAACTCAATTCGTGATGATATCTATGAAACCGCTAACACGGCTTGATAGCAACTTTCGGACGAAAGGTTATCACGAGATACTTTCCAGAGCTCACAGACACATCGTTTAGTCTGATATAATTCCCGTATACGGAGCACATAAACCAACAGTTGTTTAATGACCAACAATTAAGCCTGCAGAACTCCCAAAGGCCGATCTTTATAGCCGAAGCAGCTACGGATGCTGAGTTGTTGTAGACATATTTTATAAAATAGGCCTATGGCCTGATTTAGTTATTCGGGTACGAATAATTCTTTCCAAAGCCTAATTCGAACCTGACCTGCAGGAATGGTAAGTGGCGACATGACCACTATGAAATCTTGCAGTTTACCTACGAAAACATGTACTTTGTTCACATACTTACACACGTTGGCCCATAGAGGATATTTGCTGATGGAAAAGCACAATAAACAAATACGAATTGTAACACGAAACTATTATTAATTGATACCCCGCCACCGAATGAGGTTTCGTATATTAGGCCGGGTATCTAGAATGACAATGGTTTGTAAAGTGTTCTGGGATGAAGGTTTGAGACGTCATCATCTATTTCTAACCTGCGTTTGTAAACTAAAAGATCACCCGAATTGCTTTCTCGAAAAGTAATCATACATCTATGAAAAACGTGCCTGACCATCATTCAAGTGAAATCGTTCGTGCCTCAATCAAAATCAGATATTTCAGACCAACCGAACAAGCAGCTCAAGACACCCCTATTTTACTGAATGAAATGCTCCTAAGAACTAATCGACGGACATCGAATGTGTATTGTATTTTGTAATATCATGAATATTAGAGGGCGGCTCTAGAGTCCTCTGCGTACCGATTCTCTGAATTCGTCCAGCATATATCGGTAACTCTGCTTCAATAACGGACGCTCCGGTCCGTCTGAGCTATAAGCACTTAACTCTATGTTTAGACATATAGTGCCCTAATTTGGTTATAATACACATAATACTAAATTACACGAAAATCGGAAATAACCACCTCTGGATTTTTCACGCTTTAGACGGCAATTTGAAGATATTGGACAATGTTAAATCAAAAAAGAGTTCGTGAACGCGAGGGATCTGAGCTGTTTAATAGAAAGGCTTCACGGCCAAGCAGATTCTGGCAATAAATACGTCAATCTGACACAAAGTATATTTACAATTACGCACAGCTACGCCTTATAATGGGCTTTGCTATAGTAGGCGTCCAAGGCGATGTGGGGGTGTCAACCTTAAATAACCTACCGAGTACCAGAAGAAAATAAACAGCGACGTTGAACAACCTGTTGTTTTCTTTACCGTAAGCAATATTCTATCATATAAGGATATATATATATGTGTGTGTGTGTGTGTGTGTGTGTGTGTGTGTGTGTAGTTCCGTTCCAACTTTGCAGACTTTGTTGTAGATTTCGCCAACTTTGCAATTAATTGATATTATCTCTTGATGCTTTCAAAAATTATGGTAAAAATAGCCTATTCAACGAACACAGAATACTTTTAAAAAGTCATCGGTAAACATTTTTTGCGTGGTAGTAATTAACGATAGTGTTGAGAACAATGATCGGTTTGGATTTGCCTAGATATTCTCTAGAGTGGGGACGGTTACTAGGTCCCAATATTTACATTAGTATTGGCGTTGATAAATCTACTCAACTTTTTTGCTAAGGATGAATGCAAGATCAAAGAGAATTTTATGCTCGTCATGGACGCACTGAAGATCGAGCACCTTCAAAATAGATCAAACTTCTACGATTGTATAGGAATGTTTCAAGCAAATAATGTCTTAGGGGGCCTTAGCTGAATTAGGCTGAATTTAGCTAGGTTTCACCCGCAATGAGTATCTTACAGTATCCGCTACCGGTTCGTCGAAACGAATCATTTTTATAGTTTATCTATTACACGTATCTTTTGGGTTAATTCGACTGGAAGAAAATCGTAGGGAATAATCGGTGGGAATGATCGATAAAGGACCGGTCAGAGCCAGCGACACTGTCGGTGCTGATCGTTTTCGAAAGCATGCAGTGGCTACCATATGTTATAGCAGTTTTGCCGCTTCAACCGCTCAGTGTGCTGAACCGTCACAGGGTGAGGCATACTGAACGGTCGCGGACGATGTAGCAACGAGAAGTCTCGCTGTTGGACTGAAGTCGATCGCAGACGAACTGTGTACGTTACATTCGCTAAGTCAAATGTAAACAATCATCAGTTCAAAGCTAGATTAATAGTAGAGCATCCACTACAGCCTGTGTTACCCACTGTTATTTCTCATTCATAATCCTAAACGTAGTTATCTTACCAACTGCAATAACGTTTACATTTACATTAGGCAATATAACTAAGGCCTATCAAGAAGATTGCTACTGTCACCTATTAACGTAACATCAAGGCGTGCCTAAATGCACGGACTGCTATTC